TATGATCAATAAAGTCTTCAAGATACCAATGATCGTTCATCAACGATGTCAATCGCATCGCCCTTTCAGGTTTTGATGTCAAACTGCACAATTCTCCCATTTCTCTGTAGAATAATAAATATATGATGTTTAGGAAACAAATGCTTAGTAAACAAAATTACACAACTGATAAAATGTTTAAAGAATTGTCCTCATAGTAAATAAAGCTAAATTATGTTATTCCTTAATTTTAATTGTTTTTTACACGTTTTACATCTATGTAATCCCTCCAATCATGACTCGGATGGCTTATAGATTTGACAGTTTTTGTAAACATATATTACAGATATCATTACCTGTTGATGTCTTCGTAGGAGTTCTGTGATACCAAACAGATAATGCTAACCAGGTGGATGATTAACGGCGTGCACATCGACGACACGAAAAATCCGTAATACACGGTTGGGTAGTGGCCATTGTACAAAAATATAGTAACTCCTTTTCTGATTACAATAAAGGCCGTCGACACCAGCACGGCAAACGTGGCGAAAGACAACCCGCGGATGTAACGACACCGAAGTATCAGGGCTGCGACCATGTTGAAACAACGGACTGATTTGTTCGGCCGAAACCCGACCAATATTATTATTAATAGTATTAAAATCGAGTGCGAGATCCATGTGCCTAACTTTGTGCAGTATTTGTCCGCCGAACAGACGATTTTTTTCTTATTGGCTATCGAATTTATAACGATTTTCGACATTCCAAAAAACGTCCACACTTGTATTGCCACGTGCAATATCCAAAATATGATTCCACTTTTGCTCACGTGAAAACGTACGTCCCGAACTAGAAAAGCACAAAAAGCACTTCAAAAACATTATCAAGGGTTGAACGCTCGGCTTGATTTATAAAACATTTAGCTATATTAATTTTGTATAAATTATTAGGTAACACGACTCCTAATAAGACGCGACTTTAATAATAACATATTTTTTTTTTTTTTTGAGATTCTGTATATTACAATTTATCTCGACAATTAATAATAGCATATTAATAAGTGAGTGGGCACGGTTTTTCATACAAGAGTACATACCTCGTTGTATTTATCTCGTTAAAACTTAAGTTGTTAATTTTTTGTAAAAAAAATAAGAATTGATTAATGAACTGTTAAATGGTTTTTTTATTAACTCTAAATAATAAAATCTGTTAGCTGTATAATTTTTTTTTTTTTTTTTTTTTTTTTTTTTTAATTTTTTTTTTTATAAAAATATATTTACAATCTGTAATATTAGTTTCAATAAGTAAATTTGAAAAAAAAATATGATACAATGACAGGACAACGTGAAAGAAGAGGGTGTCCAGTAACACTACTTCAACTAGATTTAATTACATAATTATAATTGTTTTGAATTCCTTAAAAAATTTGTTGATTATTTTTTTTTTTAGTTATTGAGAAGGTCGCGAGACCAATTTCGTTTTAATCGACGAGGAGGATTGTTTGGAAGAGTAAGAGAAGAAATATTGGATATCAGTGGATTCGGGTGATTTATAGTGGTAGAGTGGAATTTTTTATAATGAGTGGATGCAAGAACAGGAATCGTAGGAATACTGAGGTCGTGATGGAGTGTACGATTACTTACATACCAAGGCGAGTTAGTTAGGAGACGGAGGTTAATTGATTGAAGTGATTGAAATAAATTTAGATTTGAGGTTTTTGTCGATCCCCAAATTTGGATGCCGTAGGTCATTGCAGGACGAATAAGTTGTTTGTATAGGAGGATTTTATTATTAAGAGAAATGTTTGAACGGAGAAGATGTCTTAAGCTATGGAGTTTTAATTTAAGAGATAGTTTTTTAGTTTTGATGTGAGTAGCCCAGGTTAATCGCTTGTCAAGATGAATGCCTAAGTATTTAACAGAGTTTTCTATTGGGATTATATTATTGTTAAGAGTTAATGGAGGACTAACTTTGAGTCCTAAAGTGAATGTAATATGTGATGATTTATTTTCATTTACTTTAATTTTCCACTGATTAAACCAGGTTTCTAGCTCGTTAAGATGCATTTGCAGTTTATTAATGGCTGAATTAATATCTGGGTCGGAAGAAGTTATGCAGGTGTCATCTGCAAAAGTGGCTAAGTTAGTGATGTTTGAATGAGGTATGTCGGCAGTAAATAGATTATAAAGGGTAGGCGCGAGAATGCTACCTTGTGGAACACCAGCTTTTATAGGAAAAGTATTTGAAAGCTCATCATCGCATCGCACTTGGAAAGTACGGTGTGAGAGGAAAGATTTTAAGGTAAGATATAGAGGAGTGGGAAGGAAACGAATTTTGTAGAGCAGGCCTTTGTGCCATACGCGATCAAACGCCTGTGCTACGTCAAGGAATACGGCTGAACAAAAATGTTTTTTTTCTAGAGAAGAGGCAATGTTGTCTACAATTCTGTGTACTTGGTGAAGGGCTGAATGATTATTTCTAAAACCAAATTGGGTATCTGGAATAATTTTTTTTTCGGTTATAATTGGATAGATTCTTTTGATTATGATTTTTTCTAGGATTTTAGAGAAGGAGGGGAGTAGGCTAATTGGTCTATACGACGAAGGGAGATGCGAGGGTTTCCCAGGCTTATGAATTAGAATAATGACCGAGTGTTTCCAAGAAGAGGGGATGTATGATAAACGGAGGATAGAGTTAAAGATGTGTGAGAGGTGAATAATAGCTTTTTTTGGTAATTTTTTAATGATTTGATTTGTTATTAGATCATGGTCGGTAGCTGTATAATTACATTTTTTTCTATGCATATACATTATATGTATATATATTATTAAGAAACCACTACAACTTTTTCGCTGTTAGGCCATGCTTATATCAGTGCAAAAAGTCTCTCACATACAACGACACGTATATAAGTTATCTAAATGAAAGCTTTATTGTCTAAAACCAAATAATTCATGCTTTTTTTGTATAAACCGCACGAGAGTATTTATGTATAATAAAAATGTTGAACAATACGACGATATTATGTAGGTAAGTAATTTGATTCTTACTGTTATTATGACTTCTCCCGCAAAAATCTTTAGGATTTCTGTTGTTCTCCATTCGACAGTATGAGTAACTGACTGGTATAATACCGAACATTTTACAAAGGTAATAAACTGGAGCAATAGTAGCCAAACGGCCAATTTTCAATTGCTTGGCCATAGTTTGGCGTGTGCCTGGTGGCTATGTACTAAATTTTTAAAACCATTTCCTCACATTAAATATTCAGGTAAATTTCATATATATGTGATATTTAAAATATTTGAAGAGTTGTTTTAAGTTGAACTTGTATTGTTAAATGACTTGAATAATTTAACAAAAATACATTTTTTCCCAGTACCTGTCTTTATTTTCTCTAACACAATTTTAGTGTTTTTTTTTTTTGTCTTTAATGAATGACATTGACATACCTGAACGTTTAAAATATGATAAAAACATATGAAGGGCTGCGGGGAAAAAAGATCAATGTCAATTTTTTAACATTCTGAGAAAATCATGTTTTTAATTTCAAAACGTAATACATTTTGCCTGTATGCCTAAATTTCCGGCGGTCGTTACTCTGGACTAATCTATTTTTTCCCTGGTTCGAGCGCATAAAAAATTACAAAATACTAATACAAATAATTTTATACAAAAACATCATTTTCAAAAAAAATTTACATTGATCTTTTTCACACTTCATATAAGGTGGAAATAATAATAAAAGCATTGTTTCCTGTTGAAAGTTTAATTAATATTTAGTCATATCGTAAATAGTTCGCATTTTGAGACATTTGTTATAAAAAAAAATGTGTTGTTTATACAAAATACAACCCGTGTTGGGCCACATTTAAATCGAGTAATAAATATTTTAACTACGGTGCAGAGCTAAGAACAAATTGTTTTTACAATTATGGTTTTATTTTTGTTCGGACCCACGATATCTTTTAAACCACTGTTCCGATTTTTTCATGTAGAAAGTATACAAATCAGAAATCGAACCTGATAGGTAGTTTATTGGGCTAAACATTAAATAAAGTCATCCCTTACTTTCGATTTTGCCGGCGAATAAATGACATTTTTTTAATTTTTGGCCCAATAAACACCGTTAAGGTTCGATTTCTGATTTATAGACTTAACTAAGATATCGGTTCAGCGATTGTAACGATATCACGTGTCTAAACACAAAAAAAAATTTTAATTTAAAAAACACATCATTGTAAGTACAATACCTTCTTAGCTCCACGTCGAAACTAATATTTTTAAACTGTTTATGAACAAAAAATATTTCTTCGAAACTTTGAAAGTATTGAACTTGACCTTTGCTGTCTAGGTTGATGATAAATAGTACAAAATATATTTATATAGATATTTAGCCTTCTATCATTCGCGTGGCGCAAATGTTTTTCTATTAAAAATAGAAATTTGTATGTAGAAATTTCATGTGAAAAGCTCTTATCTAATGATTTGTATACAAGTTTATCTTACACATTTATCTTTTTCAAGTAGCATTAATATGTATGTTAATACTATCATCAAAAATTCATAGCAAAGAATTGTATCAGTGTTAGTTGTAAGACTCATATTCTTTACTATTAATGGATCAAGAATTTATGTTAGTGGGAAGGGGGTATTAGGAATTTTTAATTTTGGCCCAATTAACTACCTTTCAGGTACAATTACTAATCTATAGAATTGCTACCCAAAGAAATCGGTTAAGTGGTTTAAAAGATATCGCGGGTCGACTCAAAATAAAAAAATTAAAATAATAAAAACATTCTCAACTCTGCTTCGAAGCTAAAATGCAAAATTAGAAAAAATAAAATTACAACAACACATTTTTGGTAAAACAAGTATATATTGTATTTTTAATCCACATACCTATTATGTTTTCAAAGAAGCTAATCTATTAGTTCATTTATTTTTTAACAAATTGTTATCAATTAAGTACTTTGAAATTTTGTAAGTATTTCTTTAACAAAATTACATTAGGACAGTAAATTGGTTTCATAAGAGATAATAACGAAATAGTTCACACAGTTAAAAACAAATAAAAAACTTTTTAAAAATTACAATTATTCATCTTTGATAATACAAGGCCATGATTTACATTTAACGGTAACAACTTCACTGATATTCATTGCGGCAGATGTATGTTTGGAACCTTCTATTTGGAATTGAATAAGCACCAAAAAGTAAGTTAGCACAATGCCTGCCGACTGTAAAACATAAAGAAGTATCGAAATTATGTCAAACAACCACTTTATTAATTGCTTACACCAAAAAGTAATGACAGATTTATGTCAAAAAACTTTGCAGCTGTAACTTGTACTTTACGACAATTGACTCGAAGTGTGAATATTTTTAGCTGTAAGTATATATATATGTATAACTTAATTAAACAGCTGTTTCTACAATTGTAAACTGTAGATTAATGTACACTGTTAATTTCTGACGATTTATTAATATTCAGTCGATATCAGATCAATTAACTCAATATTAAAATATTAAACAACAATTGTCAGTATACAATTAAATTACTTACAATAGCTTGACAAACGGGATCGTCGTACAATAAATCTCTCAAATGCCGAAGTTGATAAATTACCCGTCGACTCTAAATCAAAACATAATTGTTATTATTCATTTTATTAAAATATCCCAATCTCCTATTTTAATACATATAATATTATAAACTCATACACAGCAGACATTTAAACCCGGACGCATTAATTTACCTTTCGTCGGACGATTAAAGGAATATCAAACCCATATTTTAAAGAAAAACTCGGGATAAGACATTTGAACGTGTGTTTCATATTGAGGAAATTATTTTAATAATATTTTAAGCGTTTTCAAAGAATGAAAATATTTCATTTGTATAAAATCGTATTTATATGTATACATATATATATACTTATATACATATTTAGGTACCTCTTTGACTGTAGAGTGGCCTCTGTAACACAAATAAATCAAATTGCCCATTAAAATAACTATGTTTAGGACCCCGTGAAGTAATATATCGTGCAATCCGTGAACAATAGAATCCCATATCGCATAATACAAACATAGTAGCAGCTGAATGTATATGTCCAGTATGGTTAACAATAATTTAGAACCGAACGTCTTGGACACGAGTTCAATATAATCTTCAAGAAACCAATGGTCGTTCATCAACGATCTCAATCGAAACACCCGTTCAGTTTTCGATTTCAAATTTTTCAGTTCTCCCAATTCCCTGTAATAGATAATATAATAATAATTATAATAATATTATTATTAGATATTTAAGCATACACATTAAAAACTTTAAGGGGCATTTTATTTTAAATATAATACTTATAAATTATTTATAATAATTAATGTTTACTTGTATTATATTTAAAACATTTTTCAGACGAGTCTGCAACCACGAAAGAGCATTTTCATGTCTCGTTGAAGTACCGAATACATTTTTTTAAAAATTAACATCTCCATCTTCATCATCACCCCCATTCTCACCGTCATCCTCATCCCCATTCCCACCCCATCTCTAATATCTTTATCTTATCCCTTATCTCTAATATTTTATCTCTTATCAGATAACAGCGTAACGCTTTTTATGACACTTTTTTCGGTTATGTGCCTGAGCAAAGACATGAAAATGTCAAAAAGAATTATTAGTTAAATAGCAAAAAATATACATAAATAGTATCATTAATTAACTCTGTTTGAGTTCCTCACCTAGGAAGCCTCTTCACTGTGACAATTTGACCTTTGTTAATACTACATCTATTATGCTTATTGTTCTGAATTGTAACATATTGCATAAATAAAAATTAAATAAACAAAAACGTTTGTGAACTCTTTCGTGTCTGCCGACATATTTTGGTCAATGGTTCGCATCCCTTCTGATCAACCAATCTACTTAAAATCTTCATTATACTATGGACGAGCTATCGTTTGACTCGAGGCAATTCATTAAACATTTTTAACGATCCGGGAAAAATCGGGTAAATTTGAATAAAGTTAGAAAGTTTGGATTTAAACTGTCACCATTTTTATAAAATAAATGTACAATCCGTTTAGAACAGTTTGGTTAAGACAACAACATTTTAGAACGATAAATTTGTATTAATGAATGCATAGAAAATAAAATATGAATTAAGTATATATTGTATATTACCTATTTACGTCTTCGTAGGAATGCTGAGATACCAAACACATGACGTTTATCAGGTGAACGAGAAATACGGGACACGCGTAAGCAATGAAAAACATGTAATAGAGAAACGGATATTTCAGATTGATCAAGAGTACGGCCACAAACGTTTTGGTCATGAGGGTAAACGTGAATAAGATCACGGCAAACGTGGCGACGGGCAATCTGCGCAAGTAACGATACCGGAGCAATTGGATAGCCGTCTTGTCCATGCAACAGACGATATTTTTCAGTCGAAACCCGACCAAAATCATCACTACAGGAGTTATCGCCGTATGCGAGACCAGCGCGCTTATCGCTGTGCAGTAATTGTCCACCGAACAGGCGATTACTTTTCTACTGACTAACGATCGAGCCACCAGACTCGACATCCCGATAAACGTCCACACGTGTAGGGTGAGCTGAAAAATCCAAAATATCGTTCCACACTTGCTTACATGAAAACGTACACCGTGAACTAGAAGAAAATAGAAAAAAAAGGTTTGCATCAATGTGGTCAATTCCATTAAAATTTACATTTTTTTTTATAAAATAGGTATTGTAGAATGTACTAAAAAAATAAGTAAACATTATAGTAAATAAAAAATGTTAAACCACAAAATTGCAATTATTTTCAAAGAAAGTGAGCGCGCTTACGTCAAATTAATCGCCCCGTATTAGTCAAACCACCAAATAAATACAGTTAATATTGTGGTGTGTAAAAATGTAATCTTTCTACGTTAGGAGAAAATGTTACAGTATTTAGCATATTCCTCTTCTGGAGGTGCATAATATAAACTAATTTATAATATTATGTCTGGTATAGTAATCAAACTATTAAATATATGAATTACCTACGCGTTATAAAAACTTCATAACAAATCTTCAAATAAGCAAATGTATCCAACACATATTATAGACCTTAAGATTTAAATGTTTTTTATTTTTTCACACAAGTCATAAATATGCACACACAGGATACTTGCTGTAAGTATACTTAATAGTAGCTATAATATTTGTTTTTGTTTTCTAATAGGCTTTTATGTATCTGCGCTTAACGTATTACCTACATAGGCAGTACGCAAAACGTATTCACAGTTGTTTTTCATCAGTTCCTAAACCAAAGACTTACAATAGCCATACACTAACATAATATTTATTTGTTACTATTGATTTTAAAAAAATGAACGATAAATGACATTAAAACAAAATAGCTAACGAAACAACAATATTAGGTACAAAGTTACTATAGCAGAATTTTAATCAATCTATAAATATAAAATAAAAAATGTATTTTTAAAGAAAAAATTTAATTTATTTAACTGAGATGTGTTGTACGTCTTAATTCTTAAAACTATACAGGGACATTTTATCCTACATCACAAATTGATCACGTATCGGGGATGATAGTAATAGGTTTAAAATATATTTATATATTCTTACTGTTACTATGAATTTTTCCGTGAAACCCTTTCAGTTTAATAACATTATTTTCACTTTTAAAATACGAGTAACCAATTGGTAAAACGCCAAAAATCTTAATGAGATAATACACCGGAGCTATAACAGCCAGAGGACCAATTTTCAATAGCTTGTACATGGTGCGACGATGCGACTGTCCACAAAATTAACTTCAAACTTAAGTCACTTGAACCGCATTTCCTTGTTAAACATTTCCACAGCTTTTCATTCATAATAGATTTAAATACGCGGAAGTAGTCATAATATAAGAATAATAAACGAGGTTGACGATGTAAGAATTTTAACTGCAACTGTTATTCGGTTCGATTATGTTGGATATGTTTTTGTCACACATCAATCAATTTTCCTTTGTATACAATAAAGGAATGTAAATATTTTATATAGTGTTTATGTATAATATTCATATGTTAAACAAGCTAAAAAAAAGGAAAACCATTTCCCCTTGTGTTATAAATAGGTATATACATGTATATATTTGTACCTGTTTAATTAAAAATTCTTTATATTATTCAACGAATGTAAGTTTTTTATTTTAAAAGTGTTAACAAAGACGAATTCTAATATCAAATATATTTTTGAACAAAGGCTGTCTATTAATTTCAAGGGTAAACAACCGGTATATTGTCTTATGAGTTATTAAAAAGTTGGGTAAGAGATATCTGGAAAATAAAATTGAGGAACCTTAACTGTCTTAAAATTAATGATTAATCAATCACTACTGTCACCAATACCTTATTAGAGCTGTATTTATTAAACAAAATCTTCACAGTAAAAATGCCTTCTATTCCAGTCCACCTTCGATTATAATCAACTATACAAATTTGAAATAAAAATCGAATTATTATAAAAAATGCAATTATAATTAATTTAACACTAAACGAGACCTCAAAAAGCTAGATTTTACAAAAAAAGTTTATTCTAACTATGTAAAATTCATATAAATACTCTATTTAATTACAATTTTTGTTAAACAAATTATTAAAAAATCAAGACACAAAAACAGTATAGTCTATCGATTTTCCGAACTATACCTACTAACAATAAGCTTATAACTTACACGTGTATACTATGTAAACCTTTCATAAGTTGACCTTGCATATCATACAGTCCCATAAAATTATTTTGATTATTTAAAAATTGGCCATTTCCGTCTTAAGAGTTAATAATTCTTATTTATTTATTTTTTTAAGTTGAGATGATTATTAGCTTAAAATTTCACATAAAAAAAAAGGCGCTTGGATAATATTTTTTTTTACTTGGAAATTTCGTGCACGTGCTATATTTTTTAATTAAACAATTTGATTGAAAAAGTTTGATTTGGAATTAACGAACGATTTAAGCGTTTCACAATATTATTGCCTGGGTAAAATGACTTTTCAGTTTCGCGGAGAAACAACACGGTGTGCATTCTAGTCCCCTGGTAACGAAACCGGAAGTAAAACCCATGTAAGCAGTAGTACAACGCCCCGTGTAAAAATGTGTGCCAGCTTACCACCCATCGACATTTCCTACCCTTCGTAACGGTCACCATCAGAGTGCAAATAAGAATCATTAAAGAATGGTATGTATTTGATTAACTTGAAAACAAGCCTAGACTAATAACTGTAATGCGATTTTTGTAAGAAAATAAATACAAAATTTAAATAATTTTTTTTATTTTGACGGGTTTTTTATTACAGTATAATATGGTTACATAGAAGCGTAACACCACGTAATAGACTAGACCTATTCTGTGTTCACATTTTGGTTGCACTTAAAAACTATAGATACAACGTACCATCGTCAGAGGTCTCTTTGGTACCTATAGCTTTTTTAATTATAACATTTATCAAATTAATAGAAAAACAAAAAATATCGAATTTGAAGAAGTCAAAAAACTTCAATTATTAGAGGTATTAAAAAAACCACGGCTGTAGTGTAAATATTGTTGTCTGTATGACTTCTAAAATCTTTCCAATTTTTTGTATATTTCCAAAACTACAAAACCTTTTATCTTCTAGACATGAAATAGGAGTTTGAGAAATAGCCTATCTTATCTACCTACACTTAAAACAACAAATAGATAGCAGCCTCTTTACATACCTAATGATATGAATGCACTTTAAATATCAAAACTAATAAACTTAAATTAAAATAAAAAATTGTTATATGATTTCAAAAAAAGGCATTAACTCTATTTTTTACATTTACCTTCCTTTACAATTATTTAATCACAAGTGCTTGAACAAAGAAACTTATTTTTTGACTTAATTTTTTTCCATAAAAGAACAATGGATTTTTCTATAGAAATCACATTTTTTTTCTAAAAATTAATTCGATGGGGGAGCCATTTTGTTAATAATTTACATTATGTAATTTTACATTATATAAATTATGCGGCAAAATTATTGAAAGCGGCGTTTTAAAAATAATTAAACTGTATTCATTACCGATTTCTTCAACGAAATGATTCTTATCTCTATTGTTGATAATAAATCAACGTTATCTATGAAATTTGGAAAATATCATTTGTTTAATTTTTGCCTTCTTACCGTTTTAAATCTGAAAAGTATTAACTATTACACATTAAGCATTTGCCTTCAAATATTTAATTCATTATTGAATAAAATATTTTAAAATAATGGATCAAAAGGCATTTGACGATGCCATTAATGAAACTATGGAATTATTTGACATGAATTACTCCGATGCACTTACAGATACTATAAATCAGTTTCAGAAAATGGTATGTTTTACTTAAGAGCAAATACTGCGCTCAATTTGTTTGCTTTTTTTTAAATCAAAATGTGTATTTGAACTATGTTAATTAAGGGGATGGATATGTCGAAAGTTAAAATCAAACTTGAATTGGCTGATGGTCCGCTACCATCTGCTCTGTATCAATTGAAAAAGTCTAGTGATGTTACCATGTGGGACGAATTGGAGTTAAACAAAATCGTTAAAAACCTGAAAACTGTTGAAATTGAATGCAAGACCAAGGAAGGACGTCATTTATCAAAATTAAGTGGTGCCTATAACATTATATGTAATTTTCTCGAAAGACTGGCAGACTTGAACGATGACCACAAAACTCAATTCATCAAGACATTTGATGCTCTATTAGGAGGTATAGATTTTTTTTTTTAAGTATAGACATTCTATTATTTGGCAACGCTACTATGTCAAAAGTATGAATCAAAGTACAGCCATTTTACGTCTTTGGTGCAAATTTTTATCTCACAGTTTTAGTTTTCCCAGTAGTATTGCCACATAAGTTATAAAATACAGAGAGCAACTTTAATTTATGATTAATATTGTGATTTACAGGTGGCCAAGTTGTATATGGTGCGGCATTAGACGTCATGGTTGAAATGCTAAAGAACACTAAACACGAAGGAGTATTACTCGCTTTGTTATCCTGGTTTAAAACTATTAGTGAAACAGAAGATGAAAGAGAAGTGAGCAAAACAACTTAATTGTCAAATTTCTCCAGTTTACTAAAATTGTATTAACATAATATATATATATATATATATATATATATATATTTATTGAATGTTTCATAGGAACTACGTGTCATAGGTTTGGGAGAAATAATAAAAAGTATATTGCTTTCTAATACTACCAACAAAGAAATCGTCATTGGAACATGTCAGTTGATCAGAGCACAGGTACGAGAGGATAACTGTAGTGGAGATTTTTCTAATGCTGGTGAACGATCAAGGTTGATGGCTTGTGATGTATTAGAACCGTTGATTCTTATCTTGAAGAGTAATTATTGTTTTTTTTTTTTTTTAATGTAAATATGTAAAAATCAATGTCAATCTTGTTCAAATGTATTCTAGATGATATTATTGTGAAATCTGACGAAGTCACTAGTGAAATATTTTTTACATTAGCTGTAATTATTGTGCGTTTTGAATTTTGTCGTAAATTTAATGAAAGCAAAGGTTTATCTATAATTAAACTAGCCATGGAACAGCATACTTCTATGGTAAGTCATTAATAAAAAATATTTAATTTTTTTTTTTTTTAGTAAAATATGTTATTATTCTTTATTGACCAGAAACTAAATACTCATTCGTTTAAACTTCTGAAGTCATTAGCTGGTGATGATATAGTGAAAGATGATATCAGGAAAATTGGTTTATGTCCACTCGTCTTATCAGCTTTGCAAAGACATATAGTAAGTCAATATAAATGTTAAATCACTGTGTCAAAAATATTATTTATAAATAACACCGTTGAAAATGTATATGATTGTTAACTGAGTTTGAACATTTGTTTGTTTAGAATAATAAACTACTGTGTATAGAAGCGATGAAATTAATAGCTGCGTTAACTTTACGTTCACCACTAAACAGTGCCGAGCTTGTCGGGTTAGGAGTTGCCGAACTTATTGTACAAGCTATGAAAGTTCATTCAAATGACTCTAAACATCAGGTAATAATTATTCTTAATAAATTATATTGTTTATTTATGAAATATACATTCTTTAAAAAAAATGTTTTAGCAACACGCTTGCACTGCAATTAGAAATATTGTTTCGAGAAACCGTGAGTTGGCCTCTGAGTTTTTGGCATTAAGTGTCGAAAGTATCATCGAAAAGATAATTGCTCAGTACAACAGTTGTGAGTTTGAAGCAAAAAGTGCACTGAGAGATCTTGGACTAGAAGTTAGTTTTAAGGAACAGTGGACTGGTAAAGGACAACATTTGAATCAATGACCCTATTATGTTCTTAACAATACATTAGTCTTCTTCGACTTCATCTTTATTTTATTGATTCTGCTTAAATTAAATCAATAAATTATATAACAAACTAATAGCACTAATTTTCTTGTTACTTTTATTTTTTTATTTTTATACTGTAATTTAAAAAATGTAATAAAATGTATGACATTATTTGTGTTTTTATTATTTTCTACAAACAATTAGTTAATTTTTATAAAACTACAATATTAATAAACCAGAAAACTGTAAAAAACAGAATCTACCAGGTTCCGCCAAACTAATTTGGTATATATATAAATAAATTTTACTAAATAAGACGGAAAATTGCTTAGTACAGAATTTTCTTTCTTTCCTAAGACCGATTCAACTGTATATCTTGTATATTAATTAATATAATTTGGTGGCATCTGCTGGAATAATACAAACAAACCCTATTTAAAATTTCAGATAAATACACTTTACCCACAATGATAGAAATTGAATTTGTATTAAAAGTATAAAATATAATACCTACTATTATTAATACGTCCTTAGAATTATGTAACTAGCGAAGATAGGTTATTTTTGATATCAAACGCAGTAGGCGGACATTAATTAACATTTAAAACATTGTTTAAAATCTACTTAAAATGTGAATTGTGAATGCGCGCGGTTTGCTCATTTCCAAAGTTTATGAACAACCTGCATTTTGATTCTTACGGTTGGTACCATAGACATAGTTGTGGTACTTTGTTGTACATTGTTATCAATTATTATCACAAAACATTTAAAAAAAACGGATTGTTGTTTTCAAGTTTTTACTCTATACAACGTGAATCGTGATACTTTTGAATTATTATTAGTGTTTAGTTTTGCAATTTCAGTCTTGGCTATTATAACACTCACTTCTTGCCGGTTTCACATTCGATAAATAACCGAAATGGAATCAAACACGGAACCAATGTGTACTGATGAGCCAATGAGCAGTGTAACCCGTTCTTGTGAAAACATGAACATAAGTGTAGCTTTTAAGGAAATCACTTTAAAAGATCCTCCTAGATTTACTAAACTCCGCGATGCAGTGAACAATACTTTTGGTGATATCGTTAATTCCGTCAGGTAATAATTGAGCATTCGCAGAAATTGTGTAGCTATATCAAGTAATATGACCATGTTACAGTCTTGAAGAATTCAAACAGTTGTTGGGCGATATTTCATTTTTGAAAAACAAACAGAATATGACAAGGCTTTTTTCAACACTAAAGACAAACATCCATAGTACTATGAGCCAACAGTTTGATGTAATAGTTCAAGATGAAAATGTACCAGAAATATTTGCAAAGAAAAACGAATTAACAAAAGAAGAAGCAGAGTAGGTTTTTTTAGACTATTAAACATTACTACTCTTTATTTAATCATCTATTATTTATTTGTAGAAAGTACATCATCGATGACGATTCATTGAAAATAATGGAATTAGAAGAATCTTTAGTCAAGCTTAACAGACAAATAGCTGAACTAGAAGAATCAAATGACATTCTATTTAATCAAGAAAAATTCAATAAACAACGGTATAACCAACTGTTAGAAAGACTAGACAAATTGTTAGATAGTTGCAAGACTCAATATGCAGATTCTAATGAACAAATTAATCTAATCCAAAATGAATTTGCTAATTTACTGGGAAAACCTAAATATAAAGATTGAGTTGTTACCTCAAATACATTTAATTCACATTTATTATTATTTAAATACTAAGTAACTTTTGAATTAAACTGTTATTATTAATTTTAAAAATAATGATCTTATTGTATAACTGTTATGATTTTATAAAATGTACATGTTATGCTATGTAAATGTAATAGTATGTTAGTTTCTGATTTTGATGACCGTTCAGAATTCTAGCCCGAGTTTGACAACAATACTAATTTAAGAATAAAACTAAAATGTCTTAATACTAAAAAATATATAGTTTATTAGTTGTTGGGACTGTTATATAATACTGCACTGACATTAAACAATAATTTTAACTATTTTAGTTTTAAAAAATTACAGATTATTACCGTAAGAACATATGTCTTATTAAATTTTCAAAACTTAATATATGAGTTATTATAATATTATAAATGTAAAGTGTATGTACTACTAAACTAAAGTAATTCATTCCATCAATATCTTGTTACATTTTTTTTTTTTTTTTTTAATTAATTTATATATTTTATTTTGAAACCAGACAACTATTGTTATTTATAACTACATATCGCACTGGCAATTAAAGGAATGTTTTAATAGATACATCGACTGGCAATGATTGTACCCGAGTAAATATAAAAAAAATATTTATTTAAATAGTATCACAATAATAAATTATTAATCAGTATCTTGTACTAAAGCCATAATATCGTCCTTTAAATAAGGATTTTCCTGATCGTTTTCCGTAGAATCACTTTTGTATAACAAAATAGTTGCTGGTACCAAACCCAGTTCCATTAAACTCATAGGTTCTTCATTATGGTCAAATGTTTTTCCAGTTGGTAGACTCAACTTAAACGGCCGTTCTTCATCAAATAGGCTCTCCTTGACAAATTCCATTACTTCCGAAAAATGTTCTTTTACACAAAATGTTCCCTAATCATTCAAAAAAAGTAATAATAGTTATGAAGTATTATAAAAATAATTAGCTTGACATTCAATAATGCTAAACTGTTATATTTTTAATGTAAGTAAAATTAGGCTCGACACCCCTTTAAACTTGAAAATTAATATATAATACAAAACTATAGGTCACTATACTAACCTGTAAAATTAAACAGTCCGGAAACTTAACTCGGATCAAACAATACTTGTAATTAGATTTGCCCTTATTCTGCTCTTTCAAGCGCATGCTTTTGGTTTTGAGTACCATATCACTTTCAATTTTTTCAGCCCTGATTGTCAAAGATAATAAAATTAGAATAATCTTTAATAAAAATATTAAAAAAACATTAATACTACCTTTTTTGATGTTCTACTTTTATTTCGTTTGTAGTCATCGTAAAGAACTCTTGCGGTAACGTTATTTGTTTAGATGCTTGTGATGGTAACAACACTTTGACATTTCTATCCAAAACCAACTGAATTCTTTCTGCAGACTGTAAATCATCCACCATAGTCTGCACCATTACTAAGTTTTCTAAACAGTCTTCTGGGAAAACTAAAAACTCCTCTTCTTGTTCTTGATGAAGAATTGATTTCTGAACAAATCCAAGCGACTCCAGAAACTCCACAGCCCCTTTAATAGGTTTTACTTTTTCTGTAAATGTCTTATTAGACAATCGTATTTTACGATACTTCTCTTCATCTTTGTTTTTTATAATATTTTCAGCATAGGTAACTAAAAGTTTAATACATTCTTCCACCTGAAAAAAATTCCAAAAATATAATTAAACATCAGTCTCTTAAAAAAGACAGTACAGTGGTTTTGTGAAGAACAAGCCCTGATTTGGGGGTGAGGCTGGGGTGCTTTGGCAGTCGTGTATACTGATTATATTACTTATCTATTATAAATTGTAATTTAAGTATATATATATAACACATTAGTTGAATTATTCAAATAATATATTATATGAAATTGTACATACAATGTAATTAAAAAAATAATTTTTTTGTTGTGCTAAAGAAACACATTGTATTTTAATCATTTTTAAACAACTCATTAATTGTAATTTAAATGGAAATTGGCCAGTTTTAAATATAATAACTGATTAACATGATAATGTGATGTCATAAAAAGGGTTATTTTATTTAGAGTACTAACTACTTTCTTCATAACACCCCCTCTCCCCTAACATAAATTCTACATCCACTAGTCGTAAATCATACGAGTCTTAAATTAATTATTATTTATTACAACTAATAATGATCAAATTCTTTGCTATAAATTTGTGATGACATACATATTGATGCATATAGATTCAGTCGCTTGGGATAATTGGTTTTCAAATAAGTCGCAAATGACCTTGACGGTCAACTCAGGCACACTAGTACAATAAAAAATAGTTCAACAAGTATACAAAACATTAGATAAGAGCTTATCACATGACATTTCTATATGTTATGTTTCTATTTTTGATAGGAAAACATTTACTCCTCGCAAATGCTAGAAGGTTAAATATCAATATAAATATATTATGTACTATATACATAGTAAAGGTATTCCTCATCAACCCTGCCAGCAAATATTTCGGAGAAATATTTTTTGTTCATAGTTAAAAAATATTAATAACAAAAAAAAGTATGGTTGTAAATTTACCATCAAACTAAATGCAAAAACTACCCAAAAAAAAAAAAATAATATTAATATGCCGTACTTAGACAAAATCATTGTAAAACCAATACCTTCTTAGCACGCATAAAAGCTTAAACTATTCTATTGTTAAGTTATTTAAATACCTTGGATCTATCTTTATTACAATTTTGTATTAACAAAATTGATTGCAACATAGTATCGTCTTTCATTTGTTCTTTAATAAATTCTTCAATTTTCATTTGCCATTCTTGCTCAGACAAAACTTCTAAACCTAAACCCAACAACCAAAAACATATTTATTACATATTACATAACTGAAATTTCAATTTTCATAAGTAAAAATTAGTTTATGGCAAGAGTTGTGTACTTACCTATCATTGGACATTGGAAAAATACGCCACTGGCAGCCAACGACTCAGGAACTTCATTGCTGATATTAATTGCTTCACAATTATTTACATCACTTGCTATATTTTTTTCTTCATTTCTTTTTTCGGCTTCCATTTCTTTTCTAGCTCTTGACTTAATGGTCGCCAGTGACCTGCATATTAGTTTACGTTTATTATCTAACATTTTAAAGTATACCACACTTTGTATTAAACTCACATGTTTTTAGAACCAGCAGTGGATTTTTTACTTTCGAATCTAGCTAAAGCTGCAGCCGCAGCCTGTTTAGCCTCATCGGTGGGTTCGATGCGGCAAGACCTAGAAGTCTCCCCTACTTTATTTACATTTTTCGGTGCAGAATCTTCATTTAGCCTATGCCCAGGTCCAGCCCTTTTGAATTTAACATCTGCTTTTTTCTTTTGAAAAAATTTCTTCAGTTTGTCACTCATATTCTTGGTGTATAAGATTTGGGTAACTTCAAATGTGAGACGTCTTCTCTCAGTTCATCGACAATAGTATCTAAAATAAAGTAAATATCATAAAATAAATCAATTAAAATTTAAGAGTAGCAACACAAACCACTCAGTAAAAAGCGTTGGTATATATCTACGTTGTATCTGGCCCAGGCAATGACCAAGAGAGCAATTAACAAGCACTCGAACAACACCAAGTAGTTAAATATTTTTATTTGAAATTCATCAAAGCTGACAAAATCAGTGAAACCATAGAAAACGTCTAATAAAACCACACGAAGATCAGTGAACGAAAAACAGTCGTCTATCAACGACAAAGTGTACAGCCGAGTAAACGTCGTTAAACCGTACAGACAGCCGACAGTTGTATCGTTTACAGAGTTCACGTGTTCTTGAAATTTCATCACAACTTCATGAAGTTAATAAATTGTTAAAGATTCCTTTTTATACTTTTTTAAACGTAATAAAAAGTCAATGAAAACAGTGACACGAATAAAAAAAAATCGAATAAATATTCTACTTAGGCTATTGCCTATTAATTGAATTTTCATTGGACTAGCAGTGATAAAATGATAAGGTCTACTACCACAGATTATACGAACATAAGTCTCTTCACATGGTCTGTGTTCTAACCTTGACCAAAAAAAAAATGTAGTATAATTATTTTTTTTGTAGTATCAGCAACGTTTCTCAATAAAACAACATACTCATTTAGAGCTATTTAAACTCGTTTTGAAATTACACATACTCGTAATTATTTACTTTCAATTAACAACAAAAGGAATTCAATAATATACTTGCACACTTTGTACCGTCAATACCGCATACATTATTTTTATTTTGGCTTATTTAAATGAAAATAATTTTAACTATCGAGGTGTTCATAACACCCTTTACAAATTTTTAATTTTTAAAAACTTAAATTTAATTCATATTTATTAAGCATAATAATCATACTACCACGCTATATGATTAACAAGTTTGTTTTTTACCTATGTATCTATTTTGAATAATAATAATAATAAAATGAATTAGATTTAAAAAATCATATTTTGAAGTTACTAAAATTCTTAAAATAAGGCATTCATTTTTGTGATCATAAAATATTTATGACTGGGGTCCCATGTAATGGTAAACATTATCAGTACGGTTGTAACTTAAAATTAACAATTTAATTTATTTATTGTTTTATTATTTTAGAAAATATAGAACATTTCTATATTTATACTTACTTCTAGGTTGATCTCTGATCATCATTATATAGACTATCAACTATTGCATTTTTTATCTCTAGAATTTAGCGGCACAAATTTAAACAGAATTAGTAGATACAATCAGTGGCATAGTCGTAGGTGATACTCTTATGCTTGTACACAAGGTCATTATACAGAAGCACGTACTTGTTAATCTAATAATAATTATAGTCGATGAGCTAAACTCCAGAAATTGGTCAATGGCCAACATTTTTATCTCCAAAATTGTTTTTTGTTACATTATTATTTCAGCAATACAGATTAAATTCTTTTGGGGCTAATATAATTTGTAATGTTTTTTAAATTAGTTTTTATGCTTTGTAACAAAAATTCTTATTTCCATAGTAGTGTAATAAACAGGTTGAGTTCATTAATTTTCCATCAATTATAGTATTACAATAGCTAAACCTTGATCAATTGAACTTTTTTATTAATTACAACGCCAAACCTGTTGTCTTAGAACTTCAGTTGAATCCCCAATGATAAAATATGTTTGCAGCGATGTCAGCATAATCTATACGTCAATAAATGTTACAACTATCATTGACTACACTTTACACCTTGAAATGTTGAAACTGTTTTTAAAAGTAAATAAACATACTAATTCCCGTAAGTCAATTAGATAACTCATTTTAGCATTTGTAAACGTTGAAGTGGAGGACAGATTGTTAAACAACAACAATAATAACAATAAGTAATTGTGTTATAATTTTATAGTTATATTGATAAAATTTTATATTTTGTAATATAACATAATTAAATTTTAATGACCTCAACTTTTTCGCTTCCTTACAAATGAAAATAGTAATAGAACAATGAAGAAAAATAAATATTAAAATCGACTCGATTTGTTTTAAAAGAAAATTAATTTTCAGAGAGAATTGTTAATGGATCGCGAAAAAGTGGTAATACTTTGTTTCTTTTCTTAAGTTATGACCTTTTTTTTTTTTTTTTTAATTTTAATTGTAAATTGTAAATAATATATAAAACTTATAAGTAGTCTATGAAGGACAACAAAAAACTTAACGTTTTTTCTTAACAATACTTAATTAGTTAATAAAATGGTAATCAAGCTTTGGGGTTTTGTTTAGTTGTCGCCATTTTCAACATTTTTGGTAATCCCACTTTGGGGTTCTTCTACTTCTTTCTTGATTCCATTGCTCACCTTTGTTGGTGTAGGTGACCGTGAACCATTTTCATTTTCTTTATCGGAAGAACTCTTCCTGTTACCTTTGTTACTGCTACTACGTCTCCTGTATTTACCAAATCTTCGGGCTTTTGGTGGCGTAATTGGCTCAGGGTTTTCAAAATGTTTAATAATACTCACAGCAATATCTTCACGTTCCTCTTCTGGTAATTCCGAAAGCTTTTCTTTTATAGCCTCTTTAAAACCATCTTGGTTTTCCTAAAATTTAAAATAATATTTTAGATGAAATCAAAATCACAATATTTTCCTAATGAACTATTAAAAATATATCTCATAAAATTTTAAAAAAATATTTTCAATTTCACAGTCGAGCCATTGAGGCAAAAATTGTGTAAGACACGAAACTTTAAAGTTAAAAACAAAATGTTAAGTTGAAACACTGTACACTTTTTACGAGAACGTAAAAGTTTTCTTGACGTCCCTGCTGGATAACAAGCAAAGCAGAACTCAAACTTCTTTTGGAGGTGATAGATTGAGGTAGAATTATCCAGGTGGTGTTACTTCAGATTGTGTGAAAACATAACATACACCATTTTTGCTCTCGACGGTTTTAATTTATGACTAGTAATCGAGATTTCATAGCAAAATATACTTCACTCAAAACAATTATATAAGGTTAAACAGATCTTGAAAACAAATACTATTCCTCAAATTTAAAAACAATATTTTTATAACTTATAAACAAATATAGTTTTTTGTCTAATTTGTGTTAAAAGGGAAGTTGCCTAATATACAATACATAAAATGTTTTACCAATACAAAAAAAATGTTTGCGAAAATTACCTTACCAAGTATTAATTTTTTAGTAAGATCTGGATTTTTAAAATTGTTGATAATTTTTTTTTTAGCTTTTTGTTGTTTCTAATACCATGAGTTACTTACTGTTAAAATAAAAAAAATTGTAATTCTCAAAAATGCATATATATTTTTTTTTTTGGAATAGACCTTTTTTGTAAAAAAGTAATGTTTTATCATTAGTCATAAGGAATTCATTAATTTTTGAAATTAAATATATAAATTAAATGTTTTGTTTTAAATAATCCTTAAATTATAGTATGGTAAGATATTAAACTTACAGTCCATAATGTCTTGAGTAATGTATAGTCGATGTTAGCTTTGGCAATAGTATTTCGATGAGCAATGGCCTTTTTGCGATCAGATGAAGAAGTCTGATAAGACAAAGACCTTTGGTAAACTGTGTTTAAAGATTTTTGACGAGCCAACAACTCTTGAGTACTGTGCAAGTGATTTTCTTCAAAATCAATGGCTGTGAGGAATGTAGATAACGCTTTGACTTTGGTTTCTTCAGATACTTCACCTCCGGTAACAACTTCTTTTGAACTGCCGTTACTGTTTTCTAAACCCACGCACAAGTGTTGAACAATCTAAATATCAAACAAATTAAATAAGATGCAATTCATATATATATTTTCAATCATAAAGGGAAAAATGTTTCATAATATCTAAGGCTCTACAAATAGGAAATTTATAAATTTTTATTAATATAATTTAAGCCATGACTAAACAGGCATAATTGCTATATAATACTGTGCATTTCTCATTAGAAGTTATAACATCTTCTATGAGTGGAACAAAGCAAATGTGCAGATAGGAAAAGTTTGTAATCTAGTAATCATGACTTTATTTAGTCATGATTCAAGCCGTTTCACATCTGCACATATATTATGCCCTTTTTTTAGTCTTTCCCAAATTGTATACATTGTATGAGAAACATGCATAACATGTAAGGTGTGAAATCAGTCTTTTTACTTGGTAACAAAAAACTCAATATTTATTTTGTTCAAGAAAAAAGATGAAATTTTATGTATTTATATATATGTATTTAAGACGATTCCATGAACATACTTCATATCCTATCTTCGCTCTTTCAGATGCCTTATAAGTTTCAATATGGTCTTTATCTAGAAGAACCTTGGACAGAACTCTAAGAGAAAACATAACCATAGTGTCTTGGCAGTGGGTTTGAGCAAATGAATGACAATTAGCAAAACCTTTAACTAATTGTGAAAATCTTTCCATTAAATTGTATCTATGTATAAAAATAAACAAACAACCCATTACATTAGTAATATAACTAAAACTTTTTCAATATATTAAAGATTTGCCTAATACAGTATTTAATATTGGACTTACGCTAAAAGTGATTTGATTAAGAGGCTGGTATTAAACTGGGCGACTTCATGACATACTAAAATAGCCATCTTTTTGCCATTGTCTTTTAATACCTCTTCTAACCAATCCAAGAACTCTGCCAGAGCAGATATTTCACTCTTAGATTTCAATGTCTAAAAGTTAGTGTAATCGTAAAATTAATATTCGTAAAATTAAAAACTTGAATAAACAAAATCTTTAGTTAATGCATACCTTGTTAGACTTAATGTCTTTCAATGCACGAAAACGACCCATGGTAATTGTACACAACAGATGACGTCTTCTGGCAACTTGATCAATATCATTGTGTGGCATAATATATTGACTAAATGTTGATTTTGGAGTATAACCTGCAATATGGCAGATTTCATCCAACAAACGGCGTCCAGTCGTATCAATATCCCAACCAACTACCATGTAATCAGACATGTTGCCTAATGACACTGAGCTTTTATTGGAATCGGAGACTTCTGTGTTTTGAACCATCTTGCTGTATTTAAAAAAAATATTTGATGAAAAAGATAAAAGGGCATCTATCAGGGAAAGCGGTTAACATAAAGGCAATTGTTAAAAAATTAAATAATAGAAATTAGTTTTATACATTAAGTAGTACTTATAATATTATGTACCTTATACTACAATACAAAGAAAATTATTTATAATTAATACATCTATTCAAATTGTACTCGCGATAATTAAATGTAATATAAAATTCCATATTCAAATTCAATAAGCATACTTTTATTAATCAAGAGTCCAGCCCACTGGTTACAATACTATAGTCAATTTTCTTTTATTAGTAGGGGATTCCCTAGTAGATAGAATAGAAACTATTCAGTATGACATGCTTCTTATCATCTAATAACTATTATAAACTATAGTTAAACCGTTTTTTTTTTTAAATAAAAATATTTTCCCATACACCCATAGACAATTTCTAGAAAGACTGTCGTAAATATAGTCGTAATTAAAAGAAAACTAAAATATTTCAGTACTGAAATTAATAAAAAAAATCTTGTAGATATGTAAAATATTATAGTAAATAAAAAATGTTTATAATAAAAAAAATGAATTGTTTCGAAATATGTAAGAAAAACTTGAATAAAACGCATTTTAGTTTGTTTAAAAAAAACAAAAATAAATTGTTCGGGAAAACCCGATCGACACAATAACACCATCATGAACCAAGATGAAGTCGGCCCTGTGAAGATATCAAATTACACAGGACTGAATAGCAGAAAAATGAAGGAACGCCGAAAGTTCACAAACCAACGAGTGTCCTCGGCCGGGAATTAAAAATATGTCTGGTACGACACAGAATTCGTGACCATCACCGTGGACCACGCGATTCATTAGATGTATAGCAAGAGTAAATTACTATATCATGATAATATTTATAACCTTTAATCTTATATTATTTCTGTAGCTTACCTGGAACTGGCGAAGTTTCAAATACGATATATCACGTGCAAAACAAATCAGACTAAAACCGATTCTAGACGGGTACTTGACCGTAGAGAATAGTTTACAATATACTAATAAACGTTAAGACTTATGACAATACTGTCGTAGGAAGTACACTATGTATTATTAAGATGAGCTGCACTCGTGTGAACGTATGTAGTAGGCCGATTATACTATATATGTGAATAACATGTAGTTTTATCTCCAAAGGAAGTGTGCTTGTCGCAAACCCTCGTCTTACGTACACCGGTAAATATGCCGGTGGGGAACCAATCGCATCACCGATAACGTTTAACAGTGTAGACAACTGCAACAACAAAACCGGGCTTATCCCATTATATGGGATTTTCTTTTACGTTCACGTTCACACTGGGTGTAAAGATTTATCATCTATGATTTACTCTTCAAAGATGAATTTATTAATTAATAAAGCCACCTTGGATGAGTTGGATCTACAGTCTATTGTCTACTACACAAATCAAAAATTACAATAAATTTTAGTCTATAAAACACATGTAGTATACCTGCATTTTACCTTAGATCATTTACATAATAAAATTATGAGATATAAAAACTAAAAAGAGCTGTAATGACCTAATTAATAACCATGGAAGTGCGGACTAAGTATAATTTACCTATTATATAAGGGTGTATTAACATATTTTTCACTTGTTGTCCACCCTAAATTTCTACTTAAAAATAAATTAATGAGGGTGCACCAATGTTATTTTAACATAAAAAAGATTATATTTTACAAAATACCGTCATCTATGAAAAGTAGAATTAACGTTAGATGATTGATTTACGACAACATTTGGTTCTTGAGAACGTATGGATTAAATCTTCGCTTTTTAATTCGTTTAACATTTTATTTTTTGAAAGCAATGCTAAATTATTCAACTTGTCACCTGTTTTGGTGAATCGTGAATAGTTTTGTATGCGGTTAAGGCATGAAACCGGTATCTTTGTAGTTTAATTGACCACTGGTACAATTACGAAAATTCTTAGTGCTATGTCAATAGTGGGAAATATTTCAATATAAAAATTTCTCTTAAATATTTGCATAGCATAACTGGAGTTAAACTGTTCGTGTTAATATCGTTTTTTAATAAATGAGAATAATTGTGATTGCAAATGTAAGCGTTCAGACAAAAAAGTAATTTCTAAATCAATCGAGTATATTTTTTATTTATTAAGGAGTTCAGATAGGACATTTTTCTAGGAAATATTTTTATAAAAACTTTTTTTTTTTTCATTTTAGGCGTTTTTGTTTTAAAACTATTAATCGCGAGTAAAAAACGTTATGTGTTTAAGTTTTACTATAAAAAAACTAGGTATAAAACATCTAAAAAAAAAATGATTTAACATTTTTAAAAAAAAGTCAATTCATTTGTTTATTTTTTTACTTATAATTAGGCAACCAGCTGGGAAAACACCTGAAAATTTCCAAATCTATAAACCGTCTGAACCCTGATGGGAGGGATTACATAGATGTGAAACGTGGAAAAATACTATTTTTATTAGTTACCATACTGATATTCAATTTCCAATTTTAAAGTACACCAATTAGGAACCTTGTCTGGCCATCTCTGATAAGGCATATAAAAATAAGATTGCTCAGTCCATGACATAATAACCGAAATTTCAATTATTAGATCTATGGTCAACCAGAGCTAACATATACATACATATAAACTACGATTTTTGAGTTCGATGACACAAATATACTCAAAAACTTGTTAATAAAAACTATTAGTTTAAAAAAAATTAATATTTGAAGCACGAATCAAAGTAAAATTCATGGCTTAAGACTCTCTGGCCCCAATTACGTTTATACTTTAAATAACATGAAGTACAAATAACGTTTTAAATAATAATGTAATGGGTAAATAAATCAACACTAATTTTCCTCTGATTTTAAGTCCTGGTTAATGTCCAGACTAATCCGTCACGCCCATAACCCTAATCTCTACTTTCCTAAATTTAATAAATAGAGATCTTATGGTAGACCGAGGGTAGATAAGAGCATTTTTATCTATTCTGTGACAGAAGGCCGGAGGGAACAATTATTTGAAAACTCACTAAATAAAGTAAATTATTTTGTCCCTTAGTCAGATCATACCTTCCAAAGTATAAATATATATAAGCTTACAAGCATAAATGTCATAAACAATAACATTTTAATTGCTATAAACTTTAAATAATACATAGATAATCAAATTTTATGAAAATATGTAATCCTAGCCAAACAAACGGTATTATTTATGTTAACTGAAATATACCTATTCAGCGTGGTATTGGAAATAAAAATAAAACTGACAAGGCCGTAATGTCAGAGTGCATTTTATTGTTAATAACAAACTGTAGACTTCAAGTATTCAAATACGTATTTGCGATGGATATGTAATTTCATATTAGGACATGGACTACCATTTACTGATTAACAAGCAGCTATAAATCATAACCTAGGCTTTACACTTGTTTTTATTTTTAATAATACATAGAATTAATCGCACACAATAAATAAATTATCAAAACTTAATACAGTTGTTAAAAAAAACAGGGGGTGATATATCAATCTGATCATCGCTGCAAACTTGGTAACTATACTCTGTTCGGAATAAGAACAGAGTATTTAATCGTATCATTTAAAAAAATTGTTAAAATTAATTTACGACGCAGTTACCGTGTTAAATAATAAGTACCCATGTACATTTTAGAGTATATGCATCAACAAATTTGATTAGACTTTATATTTGCATACTACAGCATAATAACAGCGTAGCTGTCAATTATAATACAATAACACTCTGTTTTTGTTAATAAATATAGTGGTTTGGTAGAATAAACATGAATTTTTGTATTACCGATTAAATAAACTGTTTATAATTAAATATTTAATTGTTGATTGGGTAATAATATTCCATTATAATGTGCAATTGTAAAGCGAAAAATACCCATACATAAAAAATAATAAATGTAATATGTTCTTACAAACAACATGGGTCTGATGTTTAACAGAAATCAATTCGTCAGTTATATACTTCAGTAAAGTCCAAATCTAATACTTTTTTTTTTTAATACATTTTCCGACCAACTTTTATATAAATAAAACGAATTGACACGTGTCGCAAGAAATTGTTCCTTTATGGAGCAAATCATTTTTAAATTCAATTTGGAGTAGGTACGTGCAGCGTAATCTCAGCTTAGTGGGCATGAATTGGGAGGATTAAAGCCTTTAAAAAACTGTAGCTGTATGTATAGCAAATAACTAATTTTAATTTTAGTGTAATGGGATTATTATAATCGCAGTAAGACCTACTTTATTTATTTATTCGTATGACATAGCAATAAACAATAAAACTCAATTAAATTTTCTCATTAGGTAATATACTAAAAATATTTATCATAATAATAATTATTATACGACCTACTAAAAGTATAAAATTTTATTGTATGTAGTAGAAAAAATACCGTACAAAAGAAACGGTTAGTAGGTACCCAATACTTCGGAAAAAAAAGGAATAACGTGTAATAGTCTACACTATAATCTACATTTTTGCAAATAAAATTAATTTTATTTCATTATCATAATTAAAAACTACAATATTGATAAAGTTAAAGGTTTTTTATTCAATAGGATAACGTTGAAAAAAATCGGTCAATGAAATGATTTAATTTTACTTAAGTAAATTTCAAAAAAGTTAACTTTACAGGGTCAGATCAGAGGTGAGGTAATTATAGTCGTTTTTTTGTACTGACACTTTTATGTTTACAAATTGAAAGATCTTTTACAAGTGTAGTAATAAAAGTAATATAAATACCAAGGAACTATTGTTCATTTTTAATCACAAGGTTTTATACTTTGATTTATATTTAAACCCAGAAAAGACTAACTCACACTTTTCCAAGTTATCCGAAAACCTATAATTTAATTTTCAAAAATTGCAGCCATGTTTTCAATTACCTCTATTCACATTAACGATTTACTACATTTAAATTTTCAAGCTTCATACCACTTTTTTGCTATGTGCTATTTCCTTCTTGATCGCTATTGGCGACCTGTCCCGGATAGCGTTTTTAATAGAAAACTTAATTGAAGAATGTAGTTGTGGGCCATAATTTAATTTATAAGAAATATTCTATTTCCATTATATATATATAAATAAAAAAATAGTGATTACAATAATTTTCTAGTTTTAATCTCTTTTTTCCTATTCCAACCCAAACTAGTACCTAGTTGGGATACTACATGAAGTCAAAGTAACTAGCATAACTAGATCAATATTAGACAATTTGATGAAATATATATGTGTCATGTAAAGCAGGTCACTCAACCACAAGGCGACCCTATACATTAAAATTTAATTACACCAAATTAATATAATTAAGGGTCAATACAATTTTAATTTGTATAAAATGACAAATAACAATCCAGTTTTCATAAAGAAGCTTTTATTAAATCTTCTTCAAGAAAAAATTGATTACATGTTTGACCAATTTGGTGCTGATCCACCTCCCCAGTTAGAGTTGGCGGCTGCACCAGCGGCTGGTGTATTCCATTCTTCCGCCTGTAAAATAAATTGGTTATTTAATTGAATTTCTAAAATAAAATCTGCGAATTTTAAATATACTAACCGTCCAATCTAACGTCGCAGCTGGTGCTGCAGGAGCTGCAACTAATTGTACGGTACTTCCTTCTTCAGCCCAATTTTGTGGAGCAGTTGCTGCTACAGCACCTTCATTCCAATCAGCAGCACTGGACAAAGCATAATCTTCAACTCCAACAATTGGCTTAACTGTAGAAGCAGCAGGCAAAGCTTCTTTGGCCGCAGCTTCTTCTTTCTCCACCTGAACAACAAAATTGAATAAATAAACCATTTAGTTTAGAAACTACTAGGCCCATTTCAAACATGAAGCATATGATTTTGAGACAGACAAGCTATGGTATGGATTGTAAGAAAAAACACATGAGTTTTGAAAACCGCAGTCGTATTTTAGGCATAGATGTGAAGTGTTATATTTGAGTAATTTATTTTCATAAGCAGCATATAAAAACGCGCAGGTGTGAAATGGGCCTTAGTAATTCAATAAAGTAGAACTTACTTCTTCAGGATCTCTGTAGAAGAACAAATCAACAACAACATCCCATTTACCGTCACGTGGAATAGTACCCCTAAGACGAAGAACTTCACGAGCCAAGAACCACCACATAAGTCCAATAGAATGAGGAGACTAAAATATTTAAAACACGTTATATTATTCTATATTTTAATTAAGATGGCGACAAAAACTCAAATAGAGTTGTAAATGCCAGTGAAGAAGAAGATATTTTAATTAAATTATTTATATTATAACTATATGACTTAGTAAACTTACTTTATTGTTACACGGAATAGCAATATCGACGTATCTTAATGGTGTATCAGCATTGCATAAAGCTATTACAGGGATGTTAACGTAAGAAGCTTCAGTAATTGGTTGATGATCAGTAGCTGGGTCAGTAACAACCAAAAGTCTAGGTTCACGGAAAGCGGCCTGAAAATGTTTAATTAAACAACATATTTTAACACTGTAGTAGAATAAACAAAACATAACATAGTTACACTACCACCGGCTCAATCCTTTATACTAACTTATTATACTATTGTGACAACTTTTAAAATATGTAATACATTTAAAAGTTAAAAAACAGAGTTGAGGTAATATTTAAATAATTGTTTATCTGAATGGTAATAAATAAAAAAATATCTTCCATTTAAACGTTATTTGTTTCTTATGACAAAATGATTTTTCTTATTTATTATTTTATTTCCAATTATTTGTTATTCATTAATTGTTACTTGTTTGATTGTCTAAATAAAGTTTTCTATAAATAATAAATTAATAGATTATGTTATTTATCTAGTTACAAATGAATTAATCCACAAATACAAAAATACTTATTTTTGGTAAAAAGTATCATTCAGTTTAAATTTTGCTCAGCACTATTAAAGAAAAGCTTAATAAATATTTTAATTATCAGAATATCAAAATAGGATTCAATCATTATTTTCAGATTGACTGGGGTGTAAATAGTCATCATTTATAAAAATATATATACAATTTAATATTTGTTTATCAGGTCTAAAAAATAATCCAATCATTATTTTCAGATTGACTGGGGTGTAAATAGTCATCATTTATAAAAATATATATATCATTATCATATTTAGCTTAACAGGTCTAAACAACGCTCCATCATGATTTTCTTGACGAATTGCTGGGGTGTCAATCCGTCGAGTCATTCTTTTACACGATTGCTCCCAGCAAACGAGCGCTGTGACCGAGTGTCGAACCGCGACATGAGCGCTAACACACTGCCGTTACATCGTCATCATCTCATAAAAAATATATATACAATTTAATATTTGTTTATCAGGTCTAAAAAATAATCCAATCATTATTTTCAGATTGACTGGGGTGTAAATAGTCATCATTTACAAATAAAATAAAAATATTAGGTTATTAATAAGTAAAGTATTGTTTGATCATATGTACAGGTTATCTGTCATAAATACTCAGATTGACTGGAGCGTACGAATAAATCATTTCAAACATTTAAATAGGATGTAAACACATTGTTTGTATTCACTTACTTGAATTTGGTTAGTGAAGGCTCCTGGAGTGAAACGACCAGCAATTGGAGTAGCACCAGTGTAAGCTGCGAACTTTAAAACTGCTCTTTGTCCATATGGCCTAGACGAGATAACGAAGATTTCCGATGGGTGTTCAACTGCTACAATAGCTCTAGCAGCCAACAACAATTTTTCCCATGTTTTGTTCAAGTTGAAAATGTTGAAGCCTAAGGAGAATATCACAATGTGATGAATTCCGATACTTATATCTAAGACTTACATCATTTCAAGTGAAAAAATTACCTCGACTATTCCTCTTATAAACATATTGTTCCATTTGGAAGTTGACGTTGTCAGCACCCAAATGGGTAGTGGCAGCCAACATCTTGGTAACGTCATCTTCTTTCAATCCAAGTACGTCCAGTCCACCCGACATTGTATTATCTAACATACATAAAGTTTAAGTTAATTAAATAAATAATGCACATATAAAGATTACACATGGCTATTTGCTGTATGTGTCCATTATCGGGGTGTATGAAATTCATTAAATTTACATAATACATTTTATTTTTACAAGGTATTTGAATATTAATTTAACAAAATACCCAAATCAATAGAATCTATGATCTATTTATTAAAAGAGCAAATACCTATTTATGTCTATTCGAACGAGGAACTAAATTAATAAAATGTACACATTGTAGCAGTACAGTATACAAACATAACCTATAAATGTTTATAGATGGTCCCAACTCGATACTCTACTGTTAGTATTAATTAAAAAAGGGTAAAATTAATATATTATTATTTTATAGACATTTTAAATCGATAATAATTAAAAATGACCAATGTAAGTTACGAATGTTTCACAAAAGTAAAAACTACACGTGAGTGGTGACCGGATTTTGTGGTAAACGAAAATTGTGTACAACATAATTATACGAAATCTCCTTACACACAAGTTTTAATCAATTTAACAAAATTGTGTAAATATTATTTCAACTTACGGTTAGTGGATCTGTTCAGCAAACAACTATAATATAAAAATTTAAACAGAAATGTTAGGACATCAAAATAAGTCAACGAAAAAGAAACATTTTTCAGAACGAAAGCCGCGTGAATGGGCGGTGCGTATGTCGTATACGTCGATCATTACAGTGCTAGTAACCAACGTTTGGATAGCCTAGAAATATTTCCATTTAAATTAACCTCCTAGGCTTTTAGTTAATAGAAAAATGTATAATACATTGAACATGATTAATTATATAAAGTAAAATGAAACTAATCATAACTTTTCACATACAAATAATTTCAAATTAAAAATTAGGTACGTTGATACATTTTTTATAATATTTATTATAAACCTTATTCGGTAACACTGCTCACTGATACCTTTGGTTATGTAGATTGTAGTATGTACTTACTACTTGGGTAGTGTACTGACTACAGAGTACAGACTCCACTCCAGTCTTCTAAGTTCTAAGGAAATAGTTTATACTTCTAAGGTCATGGTAACGAGTGTGTAGTATGTACTTTCGTAGAATAGTCAGGCCCGGCTTGAACACATTTCTATGGGCAAACTCTGGTTTTACATACGTGTACGGAAAACAAAATCTTCTACATGAATTTAAGCACACATATATGAAAAACGTTATATAGCCGTATAGGACATAGGTATTTCTTTAGTGACTCGGTTTTGAACGCAAACTTATATTAACCACAGTACATATTCGTTGTGTCCATTTCGTTATCCTAAAATATGACTACAAAATGCAGATATCTGTAACACTGCTTTTGAAACGATATTAAATAGGTATTAGTCAGGAATAAAACATTTATTTCGTTTCAAAAGACATGATTTAACTTAAATGTTATTATTTGTTAATTCAAATTTGTATACAAGTTGAAACTTGTTTTTTTAAATTTTGAACTAAGTATTTTTTTTAAATCAAGTATTCCACTTTTGAGGGTCAACACCAAATAAAAGTTTTATTAAACGAAATGAAACCTATGGACCCTAAAACCTATAAATGTAATTTTTGTTAACAATCGCAATGTTTTTTTCTGTTCTCAATAGTTCTCCAATAATTTTCTCAAAATAATTATTAGCGGTTTAGTTCATAAAAATATTTATTTTAATTAGAAATTAAACTTAATAGAGAATAGAATGACTGAATAATGATTTAATAAGTGATGGGGACATGGGCCAAAAATGTAAACATTTTCTTTAAAATCTACAATTTTAGAAAAATGCCCTACAATGTACAAAAATTATGCCTCACGCCGAGCCTGAAAATAAATCATAATATTTAGTTATTGGGCAATAATGGACATTACTGGGACAAATTAACAAAATTAGTTTAATTATTTGACAGTATACTGATAAAAAATGACGATAAAATTGTCCGCGTGACGATGTGTACTTTTTTGAGAAAATAAAAACAATAAACTGAATTCAATAACAACTCTAATTAATATACATTGTGACGTGGGGACGACGCCCGTGGTCATCGTGTTGTCCAACGGGGTTTGCAAGAGCCTTAGTGTAATAATATAAAATGTAAAGAAACGATTTTAACGTACAATTATAATTAATTTAATTGTTCTTAGAATATATTGTATTATTAGAATAAATTGTACTATTATAATAGGCTTCGCGTCGTCCCATCGATTATTATTATTTTTGACAATAACCATATTATTATAGGTTTAATTCGAAAAAAATCGTCCGTTATCGGTTCCCCCTTCGTATACTCTTGTCTTAAACCTTTCGGTCACGATCGCCGTCATTAGTGTATACGTAGTGGTATCAAGTGTTTGGCTAATAAATTAAAAAATAAAAACTAATAATTTAATAATAAGATTGCCGCCGCTTATGGTTTACGGCTGTGAATGTGTTATAGTTTTATTGCTTTCGTGACATAAAATGTTATCATATTGTACTTTTAAAATATTTCATAAGTACGATTTGTCTTATTTATGCACCTTTAACTCTGAAATATTTTTTTCAATATAAATAACTGTATAAGTAATTCTCATAAGATATGGCGCGGGCCCCAAAATGCGTGTGGGGGCGCGGGTTCTAGGACAAATGTCCCAGTTGTCCTACCCTAGAGCCGACCCTACAATAGAGGACATTTATGATGAAGTCTTATAGTAGCTAAAACAGTGTGAAATAGTCAATAGGTACCTACTTGTAAAAGCGTACACATATTTTAGTAATGGGGATTTCCAAATTCCATTAAATTTATCATAACTAATAATTATTAACGTGTTTTCGTGTAAAATACAAATTTTTTTTATAAAAAAATTCCCACTTATCATGTTATAACTTTTAAGAACTCCATAGTCCAAAAATGTTTGCATTTAATACTTAACCGTAAACCAATTATTATTATTGTGTCATAAATAGCTGTATCACATTGAAGTTAAATTAAATTTCAAAACTGTTACAACTCATACGATGGTTTTTATGTTTCATAATTCATTGTATAAGTAGTTCAAAAGTTACGATCTTCGTGCATTTTTATTAGACAAAATATTATGTTCTTATTAGTATGAAGCTAGTAGTTTAGCCTAGTACCTACACTTACACAGTACTCTATAGTTAATACCTAGTATAAATATTTATTAATTGTTTTCAAATTTATTACCACCTCGGCAACAATTTGTAATTCAGCTAGTAAATGTCACGACACTATGACTTGTGGCATTTCAAAAATATATAACTGAGTTACTGAGGTCAAAGTATCGAATGGTATTGTTGAATAATATTATAATGTTTGGTGAAATGCACAATGGATATTATCACTGTAGGTACAACTGTAGCTGCACTAATGACCCAATAATATTTTCTCTTATCTAACCGAAATTTGTGTAATCAAAATTTTTATGCACGCAGTAAGCAATTTGAAAACGAACTCGTTATTAATTACTATTTCTTTTTGTGTTTTTAAAATTAGAATACTTTTATTTTTAACGTTCAATGTAGAAATGAGCAATCTAAGTGCATGAATTTTCAATGGTACTCACACCCATTGTATTAGGCAGGTAAGCAACATATTAATCCAAAACCTAAGATTATCCCCTGCAGGGATAAAAATATTGTACTCACTACAACTAAGCATTGTTTATATTAAACAATACTCAGCATAATAATTATTTTAACTTTTGATACATTCGGAGCACGGGATTCCATAAACTATGATATGTTTATACAAAGACACCTTAGATTATAAACTTTTAAAAATGTGTGTACATTATTTGTTATTAATATCATCAACAAATAATTAATCACAATTAGTATTTATTAAAAGTTTTAAATGAATTACTCTTACTTAGATTATATCATTATCTACATATGTTAACACTACTTGCTACATGACTGAGGATTTAAAAATCAATATTAGGCCATCTAAGGGCCCCAATAAAAGTCCCCAAGAAATTGCAGAATTCTACAAGAAGTTTGACGGATGGCAAGAGTAAATATAAATATATGTTATATAATTAATGTAAATAATTTTTAACCAGGAAATTACAACATAGATCTTTTTTTTGTGTTTACAGAATATTACCTAAAACCGATAACACATACTCTCCTGGATCAAAATATTATAAATATGAAGTATCTCCAGGTATACCTCTTATACCAAATATGTGTAGGCTACCGATCAATAAATATGAAAAAACGCCATTGAAAAATGATTGGTCCGAGGATCAGTCAGATTATTTTAAATCATCTAGTCACATTAGTAAATATAATCTATTATTCTTAATAATTAAAGATTCAATAATTATTATTATAATAGCTAACTTACATTTTTACAATTACCTACAGGAAGAAATCTTTTTTCTGTTAAAACCTACAAACATTTAGTACATAAAAATCACACTGAAACTATTAATCATAGTGAAACTGTAACTACTACCAATCAGAGTACAACTATAAAAATTACTAGACTGGTGTCTGAAACTACATGTACATTTGTTAAGTCCTTATTTTCATATTTAACTTCACTATCTATGCTGACTGAAATGGTTGAATCTGCAATAGGTAAGAAAAGTTGTATTTTATTATTGTAATCTATGACATAGCTCCATTGATTTAGATGTGAGTTATTAATATTTGATATAATATAATAGAAGTAACAAATGTGTAATATTATTTACAAGATATAAATTGATTCATAAATAATAAGTTAATTGTTAGATCAAATAATAACTAATTAAATAAAAGATTATTTTTATTTATTGCTTCATCTAAATAAAAATATATATATATAAATAATGTTTTGAATTTTTAACCATATTAAGCATATTTTTGGTCATTCAAAAAATGATATACAAACAATACCTTTAACTAATCTAATAGTTGGGATGAAGACAAAGAAGAATAAAAAGAACATAGTCTTTAAAAAAAAATATTTAAGAAAAAAAAGCCTTACATTATTTAAATAAATTGTTATTAAAAATTAATAATTATTACAATAATCACAAAAAAAAATCTATATTACATTAATAAGCACTATAAAAGTAATAGTGTAATTTAATGTAACTCAATGGTCTTTGCCGCCGAGGGAAATAATAAAAAAAAAAAAAAAAAAGTAATCTTTTCAATTTTTGTATACATTTTTTGATAGTTCTTTTTGCCATAGAGTAATACATTAAAATGTATTAACATATTTATATTCTATGGCAAGTATTTATATTTATGCTGAAGAGATAAATAACATAAATTTGTATAAATATTAAATAACGATAACATTTTCTTGTGAATAACCATTTTTAAAGCTGCGTTACATATGCTCAAATAATATCTTTGTTATAATTTTTTAGAGTTTGGTTCAAACATAACTTATACTAGCATTCGCAAAGTGACCAATTGGGTACACTTAGCTACATTTAGCATGGTACATTACGATCTGATTATAATCATGACTATAAGAAGAATAGTTAACCGCTGCTTTGGACATAACCAACTAAATAATTTTTGGATGCCTATCATAATTTCATCATTGATATTGGGTTTTATTGGTATAACAAAATTATGTTTTATTTAAGTTCTAAATTTATTTTTGAAAATTGAATACATTTTACAGCAGGTGTTATGCATTTTTATTCACCTATGGAAGTACAATTATGGGATAATTCTTGGTCGGAATTTCTGTTATCCCCATTTAAGACAATGTTCAACATAATTAAATCCGTCTGTCTTACTTTATCTTCAACGGCATATTTTGTTTTTGAAATATTAACTCTTGGCTTAGCCTCATCATTGGTGGCGTTAAGACTATTTGGACAAATGTTTATTAATGTAATATCATACCCAACAAACAACATTGTTAAACCAATTGTGATTAAATATAATGCTTTATTTCAGGTTTTTAATAATGTAAACTCTGTTGTTAATTCCGCCACTAAAGCTAATACAGCTTCTGTTATTCACAATCAAGCTGCATTACCTATTGATTATAATATTTTGGCAAAAACAATTTTGGAAAGTGAAGAATTTCAACACTATATTAATAAACAGTTAAATATTACAAAAATTGATTTAGTACGATTATATGATCAGGAATTTCATGAAACTATTAAAAGTCAGTTACAAGACATGAATTCAGAAAACTTAAGATGGATTAATGTAATTATTCTTATTTAACAATATTTCTTATACCTTTTATAAATACTTACGGTATATTTTATTATTACATTTTACCTTTTAGAATCAGCTGAATAGCCAAAAACTAGCGTTAAAAAGTGTTTATGATAAAATACCCAAACAGGACCAATCAGCTATTGATAGTATTGAAAAAAAAATGTCTGATTTACAAAACACGGTTTCAGATTTAATTAATAATTTTGAAAAATACAAAGCTGAATCAGGTCAGTAAAAATATTTCTGAAGTCTGAAATTGAATGAGGATAATAAAACAAATTTTTTTAAAATTGTCGTTAGAATACTCAAAATCTAAAATAGAGACTGTACCAAATGCGACATGTACCAGAGAAAATTGGTATTCAATTACTAACTATATAGAAAAGTATGTAAATATGACTATGAAAACCACTCTGAATATTTATGATGCTGATAAAACCGGGAAAGTTGATTACGCTTTGGAATCTGCTGGTAAATACAAATTATATAAACATATTTTCAGCGACTGAGTTAAACATTTTTAATTAAAATAATCAGGTGCCACAGTACTTGGGACCCGTTGTACAATTACCAAATCATCAACGGCAGCTTTAACCATGTTTGGTATACCTTTGTGGTATATATCAAATGGTCCTAGATTGGCTATTCAGGTATTTGATTTTTAATTAGTCATATATATACCAATAATCAGTTGTGTTTCAGTTCGGTAAAATATTCATTACAGATAAAGTAATTATGATAACTGTTATATATTGAAATTGTATTATACATTTGTACTAAGTTTTATCATTTCAATTTGTTTGTTTATTTTAATTTTATATTCTACGTAAAAATTAATTCAAATATATTTATTATTGTTACAGCCTGGAGTTTACCCTGGACAGTGTTGGGCATTTGTTGGTGCTAAAGGATTTTTGGTGTTAAAATTATCCAACACTATTTTGGTTAGAGGTTTCACAATAGAACATTTGCCGAGATCTCTTTCGGAAGATGGTAATATCAGATCAGCACCAAAGGATTTTAGCGTTTGGGTTTGTATGAATTATTTAAATAGCAACTTTTTAATTATTTAAAAAACTTTTGAATAAATAATAAGTGAACATTTTATATTATAAAATTATGTAATGGAATGTAGAATATTTAATACTAAAACCACTATCACATACATATGTGCTACTAAAACTGCAGCCGCATACTATCATGATGTGTTGTTTGCTGAAGGTGTTAGATTAGTGTTTTGTGATTTTTTTATAATTAATTTTCTTATACAATACTAAAACCTAAAAATATTGAAAAACTTTTTGTTAATATTTTCCATTCTAATCAAAAACTATAATACTTCAAAGCGGAATTTTATAGATATTTTTAAGTTGTTATTTATTAAATTATTATAATAACTGTTTTAAAACGATTTTGATCAAGCTTACAATTTATACACTTATAAAAGGTGATCCATAAAGAACGCAAGATTTTAAGGTTCTTTAAATCAAATTTAATTTTTGGAATAAAACAAAAATCGCACATTGAAAAATATTTCATATTTAAACAACATCTCTTGAAATGAATGGTGTTTTTTATTTTTTTTCAAAATTGATTTGATTTATAGCAACTCAAAATCCAGCGCTCTGTACGGATCATCCTTTTTAAAAACATTTGTTGTTTAACAATTGAATTATATAAATATTTTGCAGATTTTTTTTTGTAAGATAAAAATTGTAAAAAATAAATATAATATAATTATATAATGTCCTATTTTTCAACCAAATGGTCATTATTAAAACAATATGAAAAAATTAAAACAATTTAGTGTAAATTGACAAGTGTCTATTAAAAGTATTACATTTTATAATTATCAAATAAGAAAACATTTTCAATGAAATTCTGCAATTACTAATTAGTATAATATGCAAAAGAAATTAAAAAATTTTGAAAAAATGTTTTTAAAAAAACAAAATAATACTCAATGGCGTGTTTCTTCGGGGCAAAAATTATATATAAATATTTATCTTTTTTTTTTTTAGGGGCTAGAACGTGAAACAGATTCCAACGGTACTTTATTGGGAAAGAATCAGTTCCAAGTAGATGGACCAAGTCTTCAATACTTTGAAGCTATGGTAACTGTCAATGACTTTTTAGAAGTAAATATAATATCATTAAATTTTATTGAACAATTTTTATTTTAGAAGACAGATGATCCATTTTCAATAATAGAATTAAGAATTGAATCGAATCATGGGCATGATGAGTATACATGTCTATATCGTATAAGAATTCACGGTGTTCCGGCTTAATGGTGCCTAAATAAATTCAGATGTTTACTTATAAGTATAATAAAAAACAGCTTATAATTACTTAAATTGTTACCATTCAACTAAACACAAAAAAAATCTATAATTTTTTTTAAACAACTAAGTCCAAAGATTAAAATATTTTTAAAATTCCTTTTTATACCATTTTCTAATTCTAATGTTTTGTTTTTGTTTAATATATTATAAATTATAATTTGAGTTTAACGTGTTTGATTTATTTGCATAATGTTTTTATAGTATAGTTCAAAGAATTTTTTTTATGTTTTATTTCTATATTTACAAATAAATAAATTATGCCATAGTATTTTAATTTAAGTTAATAGTGTTTAAATCATTTGTGTAATTAAAATTTTTGAAATTGCATTTATAGTATGTTATTTTGGTATGTTCACTATATTGTGTATTTTATTCACTTATTTTTAGATATAATTCATTGTTTAACTAGGCAAGATCTACTGGAATTATATTTTTATTGCATTTTGAATAAAGTTTTTGTAAAAAACACATTTGCGAATATTTTTTTTAGAAACAATATGATTAATCTAAATAATGAGCTATACAAGTGTGCGTTAAAAACCCATGTAAAATGTAATCCTTGACTTCTAAGCGTTTCTATAACCATCTATATGAATATGACTGTGAAAATCTATTTAATTCTTGATTAAATCGGTTCACCTGGAAAAATAGTGTTTACACAAACCTACACAAAAATAAAACATCATTGTAAAAAAACTGTAGTACCTTCTCAGGTTTGTATCAAAGTTCAATTTCTTAAAAAATCTTGTGTTTTTTTTTTACTTATCTATTAATTTTTGTTGACCACATATTCTTCAATGAATGAATGTTAAACGATTTGTCAAAGTTTTTAAATTAAGTTATTATATAATTTATTTACAACGGTTTTAATTTGGAGACATGTAGAGAATGATAACACTCGTCCCTTATATTTTAATTATTGATATTCTAATTAATTTGTTAGATGTTTTTATTAATTTTTTATCTTTAAAATGTTTGTAATTAGTCATGTACATATCAACAAGGATACATAAACAACAAAAGTCAAAATTATTGATTCAATATAACATACTCTCAAATACTGTTAATGATTTCCAAGTATCGCAGCATCCATTAATGAATTATGAATAGGTACAGAATTTTTTATTGATTCTATATAAGTCCCGAGTATATGCTTCATTATTTTTTTTATAATGATAAATTATCTGATAATGGTAAATGGTGAATAATGGTAATAGTCCTGTGGTATTAAGTTCGTGGGTATGTGTGGCAAGGTGGATTTATAAATTCACTGAATAAGCCGGGATTACACTTTACAGCGAGATGTTTTTAAACGATTCAAACAATATGAAATTAATGAATATAATAATTTATTTTCGGCATAATATGAATTGAACATTTAAAATACTTTCAGACGTTAAGATACCTATTTACTATAGCAGGCCGTTATTTATTATGCATATTAGCCGTTTGCCATACCTATTATTATTTAATACCTACTTTCTATCAAAATATGGCATTGAACCATTTACGGTTATCAGTTGACAAAATAACCGTACTAATATTATTAACACCGTGAAAAATATATAGGTATGTTAACAACTTGTGATAGCCTTGATATGGCCGTCGGTTTATCCGGGCGGCCATGTATTGCTTACGAGAGAAAAAACGGCTGTCATATTGTACAAAGTGATATCACAAGTTGCCGGCATACCTCATTTGTTTTGTCACAATTAATACCACGCACATGTGAGTATATGACATATTGTTTTACCTATATGCTCATTCGTCATAAATCATAATATTATTGTGTTAAAAAACGCATTTTCTTTGTCACACAGCCACTAGCTAATATTCGTTAATAATTGGTGAATTATTGAGATTATATTGTTTAATTTGGATGTTGGTCGTATCTTTTTGAATGGAGAAAAAGAATACGCCGCGTTAAAATTTAAACGCTATTTGGGAACTGTACAGAGCTATTTTATTTTGGAATTTCATACTAAATGGATTGGATACGGGTACCGAAGTATGATGATATAATTACTTGAGAACCATTTAACTAGAAAAAGTCGACGGATCTTGTGAAACGAAGCTACATAATATCAATTGTTATCAGATTGTGTATTAGCTTTTATATTGTGTACCACTCTAACTTCGCCGTTGTTAGCATGATTTGATTTAATCTTATTTTGGTTTTGAATTTTGAACGAAATACCTTTTGACTCTACATCAAGTAGATAATGTAAACGTTTGTTTTGAACATTATTTTTTTTAAACTGATGGTTAAACTTGCTACTTTGTAGTAAAGCCGACTGCTGTAAGTGAAACTACACTATGAGTTCTAGTTATTCGTCATCGGTATGTTCTTACTAAAATTTAACTGTTAATTTGTAGTTACGAACCATATTTTATTTTTGCTATCTAGGTAGGATTAATCTTTGTATTCAATTTAATTATCGGCCCAGGTGCATTGACTTTACCAGCGGTCGTTCAACAAACAGGATGGTTTTTAAGCAGCGTGTTCATAGCCGTTTTGGCATTTTTTAGGTAACTATCATTAAATTATTACATTTTTTAAATTCAAAACACATATACTATATTTTCTTATCTATATGACATTGTCTAGTTACCTTACCTTCACGTTTATCATTGAATCGATTACTATAACTAATGCCATTACCCAATTGCGCAAGTTGCAAATGATGAAAAATGTGACGAGACAATTGAAATCGGTAATAAAAATTATTATTTTTTAAGTATAACTTAATGTATTAAAAACTAAAATTACATATTTTGATTCAAGTGTAAGGATATGTTGTCTCAAGTTACAACAGTTAACTGTGATCGAATTTCTACAGCTAGTACAGATAGTTTTAATACCGACGATGAAGCGCCAATTTTTGACAATCCAGCGATGGCATCATCCAGTATTTACACTTTAACTGTTAACGATGAATATTTAAAAATTTAAACATATTTGAAAATATATTGATACATTTTAGGTTCTTTAATGGATTTTCCTCCTGAATCTGTTCAGTTACTTTCATTGGATAACAGAATCGAATTGGTAATAATATATATTTATAGATATATAATATATATTTACATTTATTTATATTTTATATCGTAATCAAATTATTAATTTAGGGAGAAATGGTTACTGTGTTGTTACCGCCATTCGCTAAAGTACTCTTTTTTATTTCATTGTGCGGTTATTTGTTTGGTGACATATCGATATACTATAAAGCAATTGGACGTTCGTTTGTAAAATTTACATGGTAACTTAAGCTAAACAATTTCAGTTTTATGTTTTTTTTAAAAATTGTAATTTTTCAATTTAGTAACAACAATAAAACCAACGAAACAAACTTGTGTTGGGAGGATTCTTCATATACCAAACATGATGTTTATTTAGCTTACTTGGTGAGTATGATTCAATATTTTGGCTCTAATGAAATTTTAAATTTGAATAATTATGGATTTTAATTTTTTTGATTTATTTTAAATGTGGATGTAGATTTTCTGTAGCACATCTATACCCTGTCCACCAAGAAAACATGTCGTGACCTGATGAAAATTGGTTATTCTGCACATCCCTATGCGGCACCTAGCGTGACTAGTGTTTCTCCTGATACCCCCTGCCAGCCTGTCCTAGGTAGCCACTTGGTCTCCAGTCTACATGCACAAAACCGGCATGTTCTCTCGGCAGACAGGGTATAGATCTACATAAAATCGTTAAAATGGAGAAAAACCATTCTCAAGTATTTTTTTTTGACAATACACATTTTAGAAAATATTTTTGAACTCTAAAATTGTAGTATTTTATTAAAGATAGTTGGAAGTATGATATTTTTCCATAATTTTTCAACTATACAAATGAATGCAGTAAATTAGTAAAGAATAACATTTAACAATATTATGATTGTTATTAAATAGGGTCTTTACTTAATAATTGTTGGCCCGTTTACATTTTTCAATGTTCAAAAAACCAAACATTTACAAGTTTTTTCATTCATTATGCGTGTTACTGGTAAGTTACAAATAATAAACATAAATAACTTTTATATACGCTATATGTCATTACATCCGCTCAACTTCCTTCTTGTCTTATATTTTAATATATAACATTTTTTTTTTGGTACTTATTTAATTACAATTATTTTCAATTCTCTACATTACACTCACAATTTTTATGGCCACTCAACAAACTAAAGTTTTATTTTTTTTGGCAAAATTAAATTTATTAGTACTGCGACTTATTTTTGAATATTAGTTGCTAACGCCATTCTTAAAACTTTTCTTGCTTTGCCATTTAGCTACATCTTTTTTTACTTTTTATTCATACTTTTCACACTTTTGTACATTTTCTCGTATTTTTGCACTAAAAATTGTATAATAACTATTCATATTTTCTTTTTTTTTAGCTATGCTTACAATGTTTACACTTGCAGTGCTGCGTATTATCACTCCAACTGAAGATCACGGAGATCCCCCTGCAGCCTATTTCCCTGCTATACCACAACTTATCGGTGCATCAATTTATGCGTTTATGTGTCATCACTCAATACCATCAGTGATAGCACCAATTAAAAATAAAAATAATTTAATGCTTAAGATTGCTAGCGATTTCTTGTTCATTTATAGTCTGTACATGTGTCTGTGTATATCGGGAGCATACGCATTTCCAAAAGTCAATGAATTTTACACAATTAATTTTACACCAACACAGAACACTGAACTAATATACAAAGTAATAGATTCGTTTCTGGTTCTGTTCCCGGTGTTAACGATCAGTATAAGTTTTCCAATTATTGCTATCACTTTGCGAAATAACCTTCAAGTAAATCCATTCTTTATTCAATATTTATTTTGATAGTTTTATTAAAACAACATATTTTTATTTCAGGTAATGCTTCTTCCTGAAGACGCTCATTGGGCTTGGAAACGAATAGTTTTGCCTTTATTTACATTAATAACTCCTATGTTATTAGCAGTATTTGTATCTGATCTCGAAGACTTGGTAAATTTATTATTATGTAACAATAGATTAATTTTTTTCAACATATTATTGACTATAGTGATGGAATCCAAAACTTTCATAGATTAAACTATTAGTTAAATCATTTTCGGATCTATCCATATTGTCATTAATTAGCCGATGTTTCAGACCCACTGCAGGGTCTATTTTCAGACCTATGTAATTAATCTTAATGATTTAGTTTTATAAATGTTTATAACGAACAATATTGATATTGCTAATAAAATTTAGTAAGTTTCAATTTTTATTATAAAAAACTATCATTGACTTAGAATGCCGAAAAACAACATGTTTTTGGTGACTGCCACAAAAAACAACATTATTCACTTTTTCTTACAAAAAACATTCTGATATTTTTTTCTCCCATTCGATCCAGCATGGTAAAAAAAGACTATTACAATGATTGATCGGACTCTGATAAATAAAAAAAATTATCCAAACTTAAAAAAATCAAAATGATTTAAGCCTTAGTTAAAAAACAAAAATGAGCCGATAACATTTAGATAAAAAAAAATTATCTCATCAGATTCTTTGATAAAATTTAACTGGTAAATTGAACCAAACTGAAATAATAATTTTTTTATTATACAGGTGGTGTTTGGTTAATTATTTTTTTTTGTCATGTCAGGTGTCGAATTGTTTTTTTTTTAATCAAGCTGGATTGAACTGGGCTGAAACCATTTCTTTGCTGTTGAATAGGATTGGTATAATTTTTTCGCCTTCAAAATGTCAATATTTATCATTTCTTTTCTTTAGATTTGTTAATTTTTTAAGACTGACTCTTACATAATAATTTAGTAATAATCTGAATTTTTGAAATTCTGTCCTATTATATGAATTTTTTTGTTAAATCTAAAATTAAAAATTTCAGGTAGCAATAGTAGCCGTGTATGCTGGCACCGGCATACAATATGTGACACCCTCATTGTTGGTCATAGCTGCTCGAGCTGAAATCCCACAGCAAGTGGCAGGGATTAAGAATGATTTTTGTTCACCTTTTAAGTCGAAAAATTGGCCCATAGCTATACTCATATGGTCAGTGATATGTGTTGTAGTTTTAACCAATTTTTTTATATTTATTAAATAAACAACCCTAATTAGACTATACATTATAATCTGTTACTATATTTAGAGTTTAATATGTTTTTGTGTACCATTATTGTTAACAAGTTTCTAAGAAGACAAGACTATAAAATAATGTCACAATAAATAATAAATTATATATAAATGTTTAAAAATACATGTATTTTCTTCATTAACTGGTTTTTAAATATACACTTTTATTTTATGAAAAATAAAATTGTATTCTTTTTTTACTTACAAAAATCCTATATTTTGTTATTTTTCAAAAGGCTATTAAAAAAAAAAAACTAAAAAGTTCTTTACATTGTTTAATTAAAATTACTTACATTAATTCATAAATGTAAATTTACATATTTTCAAGATTATCGTTATTGTATATAAGAGAAAAATATTTTTTAACAAATAATTATACTTATTCCTTAAGTCTAACAAAAAAAGTCCAAAAATAACTACTTTACAAATTATACATTTGTAATACAATATTTTTGTATAAGGTATAATATAATTTTTTTTCAAGAATTTTAGTTCTAAAACATTTCTTAATATTACAATATACTAAAACATAACAATATTAAGCTCAGATGTATTTATCTATAAATATACCCCTAGTTAGTACTTTTTATTAATAATTAATTTAATAATAATAATTACAAAAAAAAAAAAAAGACAATATTCATACAATTTTTAAGTCAATACATTTTGAAAATATAAAATGAAAAAAAAAATTATAGCCAAAATAAAGCTGCGACAATAAATTATTGTATTTGGAAGGTGTCAATTGTCAGTGCGATCTGACAATTTATTTTCAACTTCACATATTATGCAAGGATAAATGTTGGTCAGAGTCATTAGTTCTTAATACTTGACGACAAATTTTGCACTGTGCAACGTTTAATTCTTCGCCGCTATTTCTATTATAAACAAATAGCAATTCCTTAAAAAAAAAAAAATATATGTATTAGAATAAAATCAATTAACATTTAACCTAACTTTTTCATGTAAATATCAGAAATAATATTTGAACTATACTTTAAGTCTAAAAATAAAGAAAGTTTACCCTTCAAAACAGTAAAAATTAACACATTTTTCATTTTAAAATTACGGCATGCTATAACTTAGTGAAAAATAGTCAAACTAGTTTATATTTGATAAACATTTATTGCTTTTTTTTTAGTATATTAGACATTTCCCAATTGACTAATCAATTTTTTCAGTATATTGTTCTTAACTTAAAAATTAACAATAAACATACATTTTCATTATTTTTATTTAATTAAATACATTTTTCAGTTACAATAATTCTAATAACCTGTGACCTCCCTCCTTCATCCCCATTTTTTTTTAACTTAAAAATATTTTTGAAAAAAATGCATTATATTAAAATTAAATACCTGCTGTTTTTGTATATCTGGCAACAATAAGAGAAGCTCTTGAAAAACAGTTTCGAATCTATTTCTACAGATAGCTTCAACACAATAAGAATAAAAATCATACGCAGTGATTACATGTTTCCTGAATAATGTTGACATTTCTTTGAATTTTTCAAATGTATCAAATTGATCATCGCGCGGAATCAATGCTGCTACTAAATTATTAATTAGCACTTTATTTCGAATAGCTAAGTTAGGAGGGTCCTTAAATTCATATGATTGAGTTAAAGATAATCCGGGTGGGGCTTTAATTTGAGGACGACTAGTTAGGCCTGGAGGAGCTCTAATTTGATGAGTATTTTCAAATCCTGGCGGTACTTTGGGTGTTGGGGTTTCAACTGTTTTAGTATTATCTCGCTCCACTATTGATTGCTTGTTTTCATTCTTTTTTCTTTTTTTCTTTTCTTTCGGAATGGAAACAGGTTCTTCTAATTTTTCAGATGAAGGTACAACATTTTGATGTTGATTTTCTTTTATACTTTTCTTGTTGGGTTCTTTTTTTACCTCTACTTTATTGTCGTTTTTACTAATTTCTGGTTTAGACGTTTTACTTTTTACATCTCCATTACAATGAATATCTTTAGATTTTGTTTTATTTTCTTTATTTTCAATTTTTTGAGAATTGTTCTCATTTTTCCGAGAACTACTTTCAACTTGTATAAGTTTTTTAGGTATATTTTGGGTACTTTCTACTGAACTGGCACTTTTTTTGGTATTATCTGGTTTCTTTTTATTTCCCAACTTGGCTAAATTACTTTTAATGGGTTCCGATTTCTTGTTGAGATTAGGGAAATCTGATGAGCTGGGTACTTTGGGGGCTTCGGCAATTTTTTTCTTTATGGGAGCTTCTTTTTTTACTTTTTTCTTTGCTTCTTGTTCTTCATTAATGGTTTTGGCTTTAGAAACCCAACTATCAGCGTTAGCGACTTCTTTGACTTTTGCTTGTTTTTGGTTGCCATCTAAAGAAGGAAAATCTTTAGCTTGATTGGGTAACCGTATGGATGGTCCAGCATTTTCTTTTTTTTTTTCTTGTTTAACCGGTTCTGGAGGTTTCTTTAAGATCGTAGCCATTCGAACGCTGTTTGCAGACTGAGTGGGCCTAGGTGGAGGAGGTGCTGGATCTTGACCAAGGGCTGGAAATGAGTTCAGATCTCGTGTGTTAACGTGGTGGTTTTGTTTTCTAGTTCGAGCACACGGTAGAACAGTAGTGGTTTGTCCATTAAGAGATGGGAAATCGGATGTATCGCGCACATTAAGAGCACGATCAGGTGGAGGATTGTTATTCCTAAATACCAAAAACGTCTAAGTTAAACATATAGTTTTTAAAAATAATTGTATAAATATCAGCGTAGTTTTAAATACAAACTTACAAATAATAATTATTATCAGGCATTGTTTGATGTTGATTGGGAAGTGGTCTACCAGCTTCAACTAATGGAAAATGTCTAGGACGTAAATTAAATTCTATTTTTAAGGTACGTGCTTCTTTGGAACCATGTTTCCCAAGTTCCTTACTATGAGTTTGGGCTTTATGAGCTATAAAATATGAATCACATACTTAAATATACAAAACTAAATAAATTTATATTTAATAAATATTATAATATATACATATATATGTTTTTCTTACAGTTAAATAATGAGTATTGAATTTTTATACATCATGTATAAAAACGAGCGGGTGCTAAACAGGCCTTACAGTCATTAGCGTTTATAACTGATAAACTTACCTTGTAAATCTATTGCTGTTCGAAAAACTGATGTAAATTGTTCGTTAGCACAATTCCCTTCTTCACAAAGATAATGTTTGTCATAATAATGCCTTCTTAGCCAAGCATAAGTCCTATAAAAACACATTTATTATTTTGATACAAAAACATTTTATCGAATATAGGTAGTCCAGAATAACAGATAATGCATCAGTATTATATTTTATTTTCATTCTACTTCAACAACATTATTTGCTTTGTAAATAATTAAAAAATTAAAAGTTTTTAAAATGATTATTTCGACTTGAAATAAGTGTATCTGTACATATTTTTACTTACATATAATAATCCTGTATTCCATCAGCATCACAAAAATGACAGTAGAAATGTTCTTTTCTCAAATGCTTGTAAAGTTCATCTTTATCCAAATAACGAACATTACAAAAATGGCATTCTGGATGGCCTCGATGGGAAGTATTATCTGGGTCTCCACATTCTTCGTGTCTTGCTAACTCATCATAATTATACCAGCGCCTTTGACTTGCAAATATCTAGTAAAAAATAAAATTACAATAATATGTTATGGTTTTGTCGTGTGTCTACTAAAAAGTAGAATGCAAAGTTTTAACAACGTAATAATAAAAATAAATGCATTTAAAAAGTGATAAAATTTCATACTAATAAACCATTTAAGTAAATGCATTTAAAATATACAGGGTGGCTCACGAAGATTTGACAAATTAAATAACTTTTGTTCAAGTGAATATTTTTGAGATTTTTTTTTAAAAATAAGTTACACCCATTTGCGCTATAAGCACCACGATTTTTATTGCACTTACCTGTTTTACTTTTTTTAATAATTGTTTTATTTTTTTTATTACATTTTTTTATTTTTTTTCAAGATAGTCATTTTATTCAAAATAATTAAAAAAAAAAAATTGGTGAAAAAAATTTGTATTTTTATTCATCCGTTCAAAAGTTATACTCATTTGAAAGTGAGGATGACTGATGACGGAAGGTGGAGTGCAATAGGTAACGCGCGCTGATAAAAATAAATCTACGCGGAGATGAAGTCTTATTTTAGTAATAATTGAGCTAATATGTAGTTTTTTGTTATTTTATATCTTATTAATTTTGTCTGCTTTCATTGTGTAGTATTTAACTATTCTTTTAACATTGAAGAAATTTATAATCTTTTATTATATTTAGTAGCATATAAATTAAAAATCTTAGTCTTATTTTTTTGAGAGTATACTTGGTTAGAAAAGATGCCTTTTAATATATAAATAATAATAATATTAACACAGAGAAATAGTGCTAAATTATAATTAGACTAAAAAATAAGGAATTTGCCTGTAATAAAAAGCGTTACAAAGTATGATTGAGTAAATTTTACCTTTAAATGTTTAACACAAAGACGACAAGCATATAAACGATGGGTTTTCTCCATATGCGTTGCTAACTGCTCAAATGCTCCAAAATCAGGACGATCATAACATTTCTTACAATAACAACGCAATAGTTGCTCAAACGAGTTTTCAATATAATGGTCATTGAATGCAATACCATACTTTTTGTTGTAGCGAGAATATTGACGACTGTCCAAATCTTTGAACAAGTTAACTTCTTTGGTAAAAATTACCTATAACAATAAAATTAATCAATGCTTAACCTGTCTTACATGCAATTTTCAGATATTAGGAGAAATACTATACAATGTAATGTAAGTTTAACAGCTTTGTCAAAACTTTAACAGTTATCAAAAAAAATAAAAGATGGACTATAATATATAATATAATACAAATTAAAAGCAAAAAATATTATTATATTTTTACAACTAAAAGTTTAAATGATGCATGTTAAGGAAAATTAAAAACAAACACCTGAGAAAACTAACTAAAAAAAAATAACCTAGATATTAAAATATAAAATGGTAAAATAAATTTGTAATTTAACTATTAACCATAATTCGAAATTATGCTATATACTGCTAATTAAAATGAAATAAAATATAAACCTTTGTCATTATACGCCTGCATATTGGACATTCTTTTTGATCGCATAACACTCTCATGGTAGTAGAACACTCATAACAAACTGGATGATCACATGCACCAATTGAAAAAATTGTTTGCGGCCTAAAACATATCACGCAACTAGTCCCCGACGAAGACGAATTCCTGTAGGAGTGACCTTTTTTCTCCATTTCTAAAATGTTAAAATTAAATTACAGGTAACGTTTGTCTAATCAATAAGATTTTTTTTAAACAGAGTATTGAACATCATAAGTCTAATATTTTAACCTACTTGTAATTTGGCACAAATCTTGGTTAGATAAAACAGACACAAGGTGCAACAAACGTTATGTAAACTTGCAGACTTGCAATTTTTAATAAATAGACTTAGTGACGTTAATGACAATAATGGTGATAATTAGATCAAGTTGAAACCGTATTTTGGAAATTAAAACTCGTGCACGTTTTCTTGCGGCAAAAACTTTCAACTTCACATTTTTAGTTTTTACCACGAAAACCGAAAATGGTAACGTAAATTTTTTTTTATCAAAATGAGGTTATCATTTTTTGATAGAATATAGAGATAAGAAAATGTGATAGCAAACACGAGGTCGGGCGTTGTTGCCTGTTTGGTTTGTATGTTATGATGTATATTTAAAATTCGTTTTACCCTTTAAAAGTAGCAGTTAGTTTTTTTTCTCTTAGTACTTGTTTACAATCTTCATTAAATAATTAACGTCTGTATGAATGGAAGAAACGTTGACCAAGTCGTCCGGCAGCGCCGACAGTTTAGAATCAGCCGATTGGCAGTTACCGCTGTGTTTTACCAAAAAGAGACACACCGAAGAAATCAAAAGCGTTCAAACTGTAGTCAGTTCATGGCGACTCAAAGAACGGGTATTTTTCGTTTGTTTTATAATTCTGAAATAGATATTTTTTTTTAACAGTCATTTTTTATTAATTTTTTGTTATAGATGAAAACAGTAAGCGTAGCCCTTGTATTATGTTTAAATGTAGGGGTAGATCCTCCTGACGTTTTCAAAATTCAACCTTGCGCTCGGTTAGAGTGCTGGATAGGTATAAACGTTAATACTAAATGGCGATTAAAAAACTAGTTGTATTTTATGTTTGTTTTTTTTTTTTTTAGATCCTTTAATGATGATACCTCAGAAAGCACTTGAAATGATCGGTGCAAATTTACAAAGACAATATGAAAGATGGCAACCAAGAGCACGCTATAAGCAATCATTAGATCCGACTATAGAAGAAGTTAAGAAACTTTGTGTTTCCCTAAGACGAAATGCAAAAGAAGAAAGAGTACTCTTTCATTACAATGGGCACGGTGTCCCTAAACCAACATCCAACGGAGAAATTTGGGTGTTTAATAGAGTATGCTTTTATCATAATGTAGTTAATAAATTATAAATTTACTATAATCGTGGTTTCTTTAAATTTTTAGCAATATACTCAGTACATACCATTATCTATTTACGACTTACAATCATGGATGGGATCGCCATCGATTTACGTGTACGATTGTTCCAATGCGGGTATGATCGTTAAACTGTTTAATCAGTTTGCCGAACAACATGAAAGAGAAATTTTGGTAAATAGAACAAACTAACTTTTTAATTTTTAAAATTTTTACACGTTAAATAAAAAGAATAATAGTTGCAATCTTCATATATGTTTTGTAGATTGTAATCAATATTACGGGTTTAAAATTAACTTAATCGTTGTCAAACTTCTTGTTAATCAGTTCATAGTTTCAATTTATTTATTATTTTATAGTTGGTACTATTATTTTTAATTTGTTTTATCATCTTAAACTTGTACACAGTTGGAATATAAATAATTAAAATTTAGTTCAAGGTTTCATATTGTGTGAAGTGGAAAAACATATATATAGAAACCTTTATGAGTAAGCAATTAGATATATTTTACAACAACAAGTTACTTGTCAATTATTTTGGATATTAATCAAAATGTCTTAAAAATGTAAACCATAGGTTTGGGTTAAGAATTTTCATATGATGAGAGTGTATAAAACGACTTCGATATTAAACAAATTTGCTGTTGAAGACTTCTGATTATTACTAAAGTGATCTAACACAGATAAATATAAAATTTTAGCATGACGCTTCCCAGAATCCCATGATTTTACATTCTGAAGGTTCGTCTTTTAAAAACTGCATTCAACTTGGAGCATGTCAAATCGATCAGACACTTCCGATGCACCCAGATTTGCCTGCCGATCTATTTACATCATGTTTGACTACGCCAATAAAAATGGCAGCTAGATGGTATGTGATAACTATAATTACATTAATAGTATACATTGTATGTCATAAAAAAAAATAAAATATATATATATATGATTTTTAATCTTATATAAAAATCAAATTGTAAATTTTGTTCCACTTAAATAAATAAATATTGGTATGCGGTCATAACTAGTTAAGGCTGAAAAAAAAAATGAGATTTCAAATGTTCAATTCATTTTCCGAAAATACAAACAAAATTTGTTTTGCTAAAATTGGACTTGACTGGTTATGACGGCCCCTCAATGTGTTATATCGTAAGTATAGTTTATTTCTAATTAGTATAAATATAAAAGCAATATGACCAGTTATAATTATTTTATGTACTTAATCACCATTTAGTTAATTAGGTACCTTGATGTAAAACTCGTATTCAATATTTATGATACAAATTTATTAGAGCATAATTGTTGTATAGTTTAACTTAATAACAAATAAAACATGTATAGTTAAATCTATCATGAGTTCAATAGAATTTGAGTTCAAAGTTTAATTATGTAAAAAAAAAAAGTAAGGAGATAAGAAATTAATTATAACATTTGAAATTATATTGATCTTAGTATTCTAACTTAAAATAATAATAACAATAGTCAATAATTTAATAATAATATGTAGGTATCCCGTTAAAAGAATATTTACTTATATTTAAAATATAACTTTGGTATATTTATGTATAAATTATGTACAGACTATATGGATGAATAATATTAACACAAGGCCATAAGCAAATAAATGTTATTAATTATTAACTGATTATAAGTAAAGAGTTTGTTAGTCGTAACTATGGTATAATTATTAAAAGCTGAAAAAAATTGTTTTGGTTTGAAGCCCTAGTGAAAATAGAGTTATATATATATATATATATATATGTATAACTTATTATAAAAAATAATATGTCAGTTAAGCAAAAAAATTCTGATGATATAAAAATCTAATTGAATTTTTCAGGTTTGTCATGCAAAACATGTCTAAGTACTGTTCCAAGTCATACCTCGAATTAGTAGATAAGTAAGCAATACATAAAATTAATGTTATTGTTGTTTCTGTTTTAATTTGTTTTGTGTTTTCATTAGAATACCGGGTACGCTAAACGATAGACGTACAATGCTAGGAGAATTAAATTGGGTATTTACAGCTATTACCGATACTATAGCTTGGAATATTTTACCTAGAGGTATTTACAAATAATAATTTTACAAAAAGTATGAACAAAACTGTACATTTTTTGAATACTTTTTTTTCGAAAATAGATACTTTTCAAACTTTATTTCGACAAGATTTATTAGTCGCTAGTCTACTGAGAAATTTTTTGCTGGCCGAACGTATAATGAGAACTTATGATTGTGAGCCCGTCTCATCTCCTAAATTACCACCAATGCATAATCATCCTATGTGGCAGGTTAGTGTATTATTTTTTATTTAAAAATAAAAATATGAAAATTGCACAGTTAATGGTCTTATACGTAATACCTTTTTTCTTTAGTCTTGGGACCATATATTAGATTTATGTTTATCGCAATTACAACGTGTTCAAGAACACGGCGATGGATGTTTTGTACGTACAACATTTTTTGAAGAACAATTAACGGCTTTTGAAATCTGGTTGGATCACACAGCCTGTTTGCCTACACAACAGCGAAGTGCACCCGAACAACTACCTATTGTACTCCAAGTAATTGAAAAAACAAAAACTATTATCAATCTAATTCTTTCGTAGTTATAATGTATTCTGATTTTGATTAGGTTTTATTAAGTCAAGCTCATAGACTTCGAGCTCTGGATTTGCTTGGACGATTTTTGGATTTAGGACCTTGGGCAGTCAATTTAACTTTGTCAGTTGGCATATTTCCTTATATACTTAAACTACTTCAAAGTTTTGCAGTCGAGTTAAGGCCTATGTTGGCATTTATTTGGGCCAAAATAATGGCTGTTGACCATGTAAGTATAATATTTTCGTTATGAAGAAATAAGAAATATGCTTTTATAATACAATAGGGAAGTTATATAAAACTTAGTATTTTTTGAATAATAATTTATCAATTATTAATAAAAATAAGTTTTGCGCAAAACGCATTGTATAATACTTAAACAATTTAAATTTGCTTAAAAATGCATACTTTTTGATGCGGTTTGCTGTTTTTTTTTTTTTTGCTGGCTATGCAGTCTATTCAGGTTCTTTACTGCCCAAAAAATTTTCTCTCATCCCTATCATATGTTGTTTGTCCTATATTCTTGGTATATCGCATTCCATAGCTTGTCAACACTGTCTATCTATCTTCTTTGAGGCTTTTTTTTGGTCTCTTCCTATCTTAAGTCCAAGCCATTATTGTTTTTATTAGACTACTAGAATAAAAACTTACTATATAATATTTGTTAATTTGCTTTCATTTCAGACATGTCAAACCGATATTGTAAGAGAAAATGGGTTTAAATACTTTTTTCAGTTGGTCGAAGATATACAATTGCCTGTGAGTAAAAACTATGTTTATTAGTGGTTCATAATTATATGTGATTATGTATGTAGTACAATTTTTATTTTCGTGTGTAGGAAGAACAAAGAATGTTGGGCGCCGTAGTGTTATCTCGTCTTATGCAAAACTATAGGAATGGTCAACAACTAGGGCTTAAGAACAATTTAGTGTGTGTATGTCTAGATCAGCTAGTCCACGCTAGTCCTCCTTATAAACAATGGTTGACATTATGTCTTGCACAATTGTGGGCCGACTACGATAAAGCACGCTGGGTTGGGGTGCGAGATAGTGCACACGAAAAGTTATATTTATTATTGGAAGACAAAGTACCTGAAGTAAGTATAAAAACTATGTTTTATAATATTTTATTAAAGATAAAACACATATTTTCAGGTTCGTGCTGCAGCAGTGTTTGCTCTAGGCACTTACGTAACCTGTGATAAAGATCGTAGTAATCATGCTTTGCACGTAGATCAAAGTATTGCATTGACATTGTTGAATACAGTTGCAAGAGATATGAGTCCTATGGTCAGAGAGGTAATAATTTGTAAATAAAAAAATAAGAAATTGTTTTTATTAAAATATTCAACTAAACACATAATATTATACAGTTAGACAATAGTATACTATTAGATACTTCATAGGTTTTTGTTTTTTGTTTTTAGGAAGTTATTATAGCATTACAGTGGACTGTAATAGCGTTTGAAAGATATTTCTTAGAAATAGCGACACAAAAACAAAACGAAAAATCTTATGGATCTCTTTATAAAAGTATGTTATAAACATTTTGAGTAGAACAAAGACTAAAACTTGTCAATGTGAAATAAATTTAAGGTCCGAACGGCAGTTTAAAATCATCGAGTTTATCAAGAATGGGCTCCAAAGAAAAACTGTTAAATTCAACCACTAGTCCAATTGTTACTGTGATTTCACCTCCAATATTGTCTGTATCTAGCAATACTGATGAATTAACAGAAGATAAAAAGTCTGAACAATTAAGGCGTACGGCTTCGTCTTCTTCGATAGTTACCTTAGGTAGAAATCATAGTTTTGTATTTAAAAAAAAGTACATTTGCCATTTACAGAGCAATTTTTATTTTTTATTTATTTAGATGCTTATCATACTGCGTCAGCGGTGAATAATATTCATGCTCAAATATGGAAAGGTTTGACTGCTTTAGAACATGACATATTCCCTGATGTAGCAAACACCGCACAGAAATTAACTAGATACATTAAGCAAAAGGTTTAAAATTATTTATTTATCGTATAATATGTAATATGTTGGTTTGAAAATAACACCATAATTGTTTTTGTCGGACGTGAACTATTTTTGACTCGTTCATTCATAGAAAAAATATGTGAACATTCAGACCACTAGTAGTATTATGTTTAATGTTTATATTAATTTACTATTTTTTTAATTCTATCAGCTTAAAGCAAAACCTGAAGGTCGCGCATCACATTCTTTGCCTGCATCACCGTCTTCAAGAAGTTACCTTAGGTAGTAATAATTTTATCATTTTTTTAAATAACTATTTATATTGGCAAACATTTGTATTTATCAATTTTGTGTACTTGAACAGTCAAGGAGAATCGCCTCCATTATCAGTAACGGAACTCCGCTCTAGACCAAGAGCACCGATGGTACAACAAAGGTCTAGTTCCAGAACGAGGAGTACGGTTCCCAACACTGTATGTATAATGACTTACAACTATAGTGACATATTTTTATATTTAATTGTGCTGTTAGATTGCGGAAGAAGCTACCGTGCTTTCATCATCGTCGTCGCCACCAAATATCGAGAGCGACGGAGAGAAAGATTTTAATAAATCTAAAAGCTTATTAAGATCTCAGTTTTTCGAATGGGTTTCAAAAAACTTTGCTCATCCTTTAAATGGAATGAGTGAAGGAGGTGATCTTGAAAGTGCAATATACTATGAGCGAGAGTGGAGGTATTTAAACAACTCTAAAACAGCAAATTAAATATGTTCAAACGCTTTATCGACATTTTTTTTAATATATATATATTACAACAGTATTTTATTGTTATAACAATATTTTGACACAAAATTTTATATTTTCCAAATATTTAATTTACAAAATGTTGTGTAACTGTTTTGAAAATATAAAAAAATGTTTGTTTTATGAGTTGGTATTTTATAATATTAATTCCTGAATGTTGATGTTTTTTTAATGTTTAGCGGAGCTGAAATGAATATTACTAAACTATCTGAATTGTGTTTAGGTATTCTCGGAATATGGTAATTCGAAAAGAGGCGATAGAAGAACAAAATAAGGTGAATAATTCAAATTGTAAAATAGAACATCAAATATTTTCATCAAAATGTAGTCAAACGCCAAATTCGTTAATTTTTCATCCATACGATCCACATGTTGTTATGGCCACGAAAGATTATCTCACGTAAGCACCATATTCGAGTTATTGTACACTTTTTTGTAGCTTTTAGTTATAACTACCAATGACTAAAAATATAACTTAATTATAATTATGTTTTATTTGTACTTTAGGGTTTGGGATTATCATTCCAGTTACAAGTTAAGTCAATGGAGACCTGATTTGAGAAATCACAATCTTGATGTGCCGTATAGGCACACTCCGCACTTGTCTGCCGTAGAATTGTTAAACAGTCATGATATTTCATTAGTATTAGCGGGATACAACGATGGAAACGTTCAAATTTGGTCTCAGTGCACTGATGGTCCTAAGTTACTTACCGGATGGCAAGCGTTACCAATCTGCAGGAATGCCAGTTTCGAAAGAACTTCTTCGAGTAATGCAAATAAATGTTTTGGTAAAAATATCATAAAAAAAACATTTGTTTTTTATTTTAGTGGCACTACATTGGGATCAAAGATCGTGTCATTTAATATGTGGTGGTGATTCGAGGGTAATAAAAGTATGGGATGTCGAGACTGAAACTAAACTGACTGCTATATCAACTGGTGTTAATGCTTCTGTAACCTGTCTATCAATGCAGTCTAAAGGTAGTCTCAGGTTTCCTTCTATATTTAATATATTTTATACTGATGCTCGTTATGAAAAGTAGTATGATCCATTTTTTTTACTGTAAACATGCATTTCAACTTGCAACGAAAACTAGAATGCATTTTGTTATTACTTATTTGCTACAAAAAGTAACATATTTGTGTTAGTAATAAAGGAAACCAATACGTATCATTCTTTCCCAAAAAAAGTAGTGTTTTACTGTTGAATTTTATTTTATATAATTATTAAAAAACATCCGAGGTCTATGGAGTATTTGAATAAGTACCCAAACTAATTTTCTAGTCAAAATAAATATAACATTATTTTCTCCAGCTTAACCTCAATTTTTCTATGAAAATTAGCTGTTTCAGTGGTGAAAAATTACTTTATAGGAAACATAATGATGTTTCATAGGGTAATTTGATTTTAATCAGATTACCGATCTTTTTTTGTTTTTAAAAGGAAAGACTTTTTATAGTGTACTTCGATCTTAATTTTTTTAAATAATTACCAAAAATTCTTCTTTCAGACTTTAAAATTATAAATAAGATGAAAATAAAAAGTTTTCGCTCCACTCTCCCTTTCTTGAACTCATAATATTTTTTGCGATTATCACCGAAACATATTACTTTTAGTTGCAAAACTCCACTATTTTTTACTGTTTTTCATAAGTTTTAGTCTTTGTTATGGCCGTTGATGATTATACACATTATTTTGTGGTTGTAATTTGATTTTATTTGAGTTCAGAAAAAGAAGTTTTAATAATTTAGTTCAGTTATTTTTTATTATGGCTTAAAATATATACAAAATACGATAGTTATGTTTTCACTTTGTTAAAACAACAGTGTCATGTGTACATTTTTTTTTTAGAAAATAATATATTCGCTGCTGGTTGTAAAGACGGATCTATAAAAGTGTTTGATAAACGGCTACCTCCAGACGAGGCGAAAATCGCTTCTTTTATGGAGCACCAAGCTAGGATACTTACTTTAAGACTTCAGGATGCTACCGTAGTGTCTATTAGGTAAAGCGAGTTTTGAGTTAACCATGTATGTGCACACATAAAATAATATATGTTTATTTCTAGTTCAAAAGGTGACATAAAAACTTTTGAGTTTGGACAAAGCGCCTCCCAACGTCAATTCCGTGTCAATAGCATCAACTCGGCCGCCATTCACACAACTGCTAATATTTTAGCCTGGTAAGAAAAATTCCCAAAATTTTAAATTTAAATTTTCTTTTTCTAATTTTGTGTTTGGTTTTATCGTTTTGCAGTTGTGCTAATCAAATGTTGTTGTTCTACAACACAGAAGGACAGTTATTGAACTCTTTAAGATTAACCGACTGGTTTATGAGTTCGCGGTATATGCCTATAGTAACTACTAAATTTCATTCGCAAAGAGTTCTGCTTGCTACTGGTGCTGTAGACGGCACAATAGCATTGTACTCGATTGATCCCAAAAGATAATTTACTAATCATTTTTTACACATGCATTAATAATATTTTTGTTGTTATTCTTTTTTCTTTCCTTTTTTTTTTTTTTTAACTTTTCATATATTTCATGACACTTTTTTATTGTGCTCAAAGATTGCCATTCGACTGAAAACTGGTTTTTATGTACTTAGTATATATATATATTTATATATAAATGCATTTTTTTTTTGTATATAAAAATTTTCTTTTCTTTTTTTTAATTAATATTATTAAATTATTGTTATTTTGTTGATTGAATGTTTTCATTGTCTTGCCATAAATCGTTTATGTTTTCAATGATATCTGTTAATTCATTATAACGGTGAACTAAAAAGAATTCTTGTAACTGAGCTGGAGTGATTGGCTTTTGTTGTTTTTTTACTTCGGTTACAAATTTTTCTCTAGCATCAATTTCATTAGGACGGAACCGATCAAACATCCCTTTTATTTGATAATCTGTACACGGCGTGATGTGCAGTTTATAGTCGACGCGACCCGGACGGATCAAAGCAGGATCTAATCTATAAATAAACAAGATTAGTAGTAATTATTTTTATTGTATGCTATCAGTGAGTATTACTTTTCTATATAGTTTGTCGTCATAAACGATATTCTGCCTTCGGACGATCCAATGCCATCAAAAGCATTCAGCAAACCGCTCAATGTAACTTTACTGTTTTCTAAATTAGTTAAAGAAAAATACAAAGTTAAGATGTACTAATTCAACAATGAACGGGGCTGGTACCGACCTACGACAGACTTTCCATCCTTGTCAACAAACATGGAATCGACATCTTCCAACAGCACTAACGACCGCGTTGGCATCGAGACCATCAGCTGGAGTAGTTGTTCGTCGGACATTTTCGAATCGTTCAAGCTTAGTATGCAGATATGGAACTTCAATTCAGCAGCTAGCGCCATAATCAACGAAGATTTTCCACAACCCGGAGGCCCGTACAGTAAATACCCTCTGTGGTACGGTATGCCTACGAATGAGGACACAACCGGATGTTATTTTGCTCTAACGTACGATTTTTTGAACCAACACCTACCCCTCTCTTGGTACCAAGACTCGCCGTCGTTGAAGTTGTTCAGGTCCTCCAGGATACCGTCAAATACGCCGTCGTCGAGTATCACTGTCCGCTTGGATCTGGGCGTGCGAAATCCAAACCTTAGCCACCTGTCGTATGATGGCACATACAGAGCGGTACCAACTTTCCGTTTTGATATTGCGTACAACCTAGCTGTGGACAAACGTTGGCGTTATATTAAAGTAGCTATTGTTTAGCATGTGTCGCAAAGATGAAAAAAAAACTCAAAGACGCCCAGATTACCTTCCTCGAGCATTTCGTTCAACAATTGTTTCTTTTGTCCCCAAATGGTGATACGAAACGTCTCGAACGGTTTTGCCGTGTACTCGCTTTTTATTTCCGTGCGATTCCGGGTCAAAGCGATCGAGTGGCCTTTATATCTGATGAATTTGTAGGTTTTGATTAAATTAATGGAAAAAATAAATGAATTGTTTGCCTCTTACTTGATAACGTGATCGCCGGAGCTGGGTTCAAAATCGTACTTGAAATAATTTTCAGGCAAGTCTATACGAACAACGAGAAACACTATTAGCGTTTTAAAAAAAGACGAAGTTGACAAAAAAAAATTAACCCAAAACCCAGTTGGTTTCTTTTGTTTAAATCTAGCAAATATTTAATGTTTTAATCTTAAAATATTGGGTTTATGCATACAAAAAAAAGACTTAAATGGGTCGGAATTTTTTTGTTTTTAAAAAGAGGGCCTTTGCAAGGGCGTCCTTCAGTGGGAGGAGTGGCGAAGTGGACAGCCGACCTCTTAAAATTTAGTAAAAAATATTCATTTTAATTTATTTAAAAAATTAGCCAATTAGGAAATCTAACAGAAAAAACACAGAAAATTCTCTTTACAAAAATTATCAACTATTATCCAAAATAATAAAAAAATGACCATTATTTGTGCCTTTTTCGAAGGTAAATACGGTATTCACAATTATACAATTTTTTACCTCGTATAGCATCAAGACACCAAGAGAACACTATCAGGAGTGTAAATTGGGAATGTAAAGACTCTCCGAGGATACAGGTATGGGTGCCCACTGCCCAAAGATTTCCGGTATGAGTCCCTATATAATCTATAAAAGGATTCGAGAAGCGCTAACAACTATTGCGGCAAAGTTCCGGTCGGAAATATTATTATTATTTTGTTTTTTTTTTGAGAAGAGGGGATGTTTAGAAACGCTATTGATCGCTCTAACTTCGCAACCAACTCCCATTGCGATATCGAGTCATTAAAACCCAGTTGCCCTTGACAAGTTCTCCCAGGGATCGTTAGGTACTTACCCGACTCTTCGTAATCGCCGAGCTCCCTGGTCGTCACGCTGAAGTGCAACAGGTCGTTGTTGTCGGCCAACCACCGCAACAACCATTCGTAACACTGATCCGAATTGGCCACTTCCAGCTCGGTCACGTGATTCCGCCAAAAATATCCTTTGGCCAGGGTGTACACTTCGTTCAGGACAAACAAGGCCGCGCTCACACCGACCGCGCTGGCTATTTTGCCCACGTACGCTTTGCCGGCCGTCGCGTAAACGTAGTCCTTGAACGACATCGAACCGACCTAATTAAGTTATAATGTCTATAAGTAAGTTATGATGTAAATTTCGCGATATTTGTTTAAAAAAAAAAATAATAATAAGGTCATCCCGAGCCACCCCCCCTGGCCGTTCCCGGACCGCATAATTCGAAAGGGTAGTCCGAAAGAAGAGGAGATAAAAGTCCGCATTGTAACTAGATAAACTTTATGTTCATTCACCCTTAAACTAGTTAGCATACTTCAAATAGATTAAAATCATATGTTGTCTATACTCGTATGTTAACCTAACTAGAGAGCCGTCTCGACTATCATCAAAAGTATAAATTAGCAACAATTATTCCTTAGTGGATTTTTTTTTATAAAACTCGGAGAGGGGACTTATCCTTAATTGCGCCATTGAAATTCAGCCGTTCTAATTCAACTCTACACCTTTACTAACAACATATTTTGAATACTATCATATAACACCATATAGCAAACAATTCAAACATTTTCAAAATGTTGTCAAACATTGTTTGGCCAACTGTATAGTTGCTAAACCTATTTTGTTATTCCAATTATGCATTTATAGTGTTTTAGTATTAAATATAACTATAGTAGATACAACTATGTAGTTTTTCCGTGTATTTAGGTAATTGAACTTTTTTGGCAAAAATGTTCAATTACCGTATAAAAAATTTAAGGCAAAAATGTCTATTGTAATCTGACATTACATAGAAAATTAATCATAAATATTAATATTATATTACAAATTATAAATAGCAGGAATATGAAAATTTACCAACGTATTACAGTAATTAATAATTTTTGTTAATAGAATAATATGATTTTCAGCGGCCAAGCGAATTACTAATTTATTAAGAAACTAATTGATAGAATATTATTTATGATATGTTTGAACCATCGTCCACTGATGTTGTCTTGACAATAAAACATTGGTAAGATACTTTTGATTTTTGTAACAGGTGAAAATAATATAACGCGAACAAAACAAAACTAACTGCAAACGAACGAATTACGAATCAAAGATGGTTCAACTCGCGTGATAAAGCTTATCTATTTCCTGCAGCCAATTTGATAACATTATTACACAAAAAAGCGACGGTCAAGGTCTTACAACGTTGCAGTGTGATCATTTTCAAAAAACTAAAAGTAGATTATAATATATATGTACTTATATACAAAATATTTTAACTAATTTAAATAAATAAACACTATAAAATACAAGCCGTGATATCATTATTTTGAACTGATAGTACTAAATAGATAAGAAAAGGTAAGGTAAGGCCACTTTTTTGTTAACACTGAAGTGACTCTTCTTTTATCTATTCTGTGCTGTATAATATTAAATAACTATCGTATTATACAATTCGTGATAGGTGATTCTTATAGTATATAAGCATATATTCATTTTTTGAATACCATATAAATTTAAAAAGTTAGTATATATACTCTGGTTAATACAATTTTATAGTTTAGGCACAACAAGATCTAACCTAAACATAATCTAATCCAAATCTAACCTAATAATTTCATATCGTTTTTTGTAACTTATATTTGGACGCAAGGAAACGTAGACAATATATATAATACTTCTCATACAACACTAATTATATTTTTAAAGGGTCTTGTACAGGAATTTGTTAGGTTATTATTACATAAATAGTATCTACTGCATTACACGGCACTCCTACCGGCTGTACCTACTTTTGAATGCTAATAACTCAAAAAGAAGTTTTCAAAAATTAGTTCCACAAAAAATAGTATGAATCATCCTGTAAGTTAGTTTTATTACCGTTTAAGAGAATAGCTGTCTTTTTTTTGTAATAGTCATAAAGTTATGAAATTTATGGAAACATATAAAAAACAATATTGTACACAATTGAAAGTATGTCGTTTAAGTTGATAATTCTATAATCTCAAGTTTTATTAATTAGTTTAAATTAAAAAAAAAGTTGTTATTCTTAATACTGTTTTTGTAAATGTCATCAAAATGTTACTATCAATATAACAGACAAACTAGGGTGGTTTTGGAACAATAATAATGAAGAAAACGTTAAAAACATATGCTATAATATTAACTTGTTAAAAAAATGAATTGCTTAATAATTTAGTAACTAACTCACAGTGCAAGATAGGGTAGGTACGTTGATTTGATTTAAAACATTTAGATTTTAAAAATATTTTCCATTGATTTTATACATAGCTAATTGCAATAAGCCAAAGAGTGTGCATATAAATTGCCTATCTGTAATTCCTTAAAGTTATAGGTACATACTACATTCGATCATAATTCATTAAATAGGGGTTTACTAGAACTTCATTTATACAATTGTTGAAGTTATAACAAATAATGTAAAATTTGGCTTAATAACCTTTTTTGATCTCTTTGGTTTTTAAAATTAACCTCGAACTGTGAAAAACGCAAGTTTATCGCTTTTTTCGTGAATTATTTGAATACAAAATAAAAGTTGATCAAGGTTTTAAAAAAGCATTTCCAAAGACAAACGGTAAATCAAATAGAACAACAAAATGGCATATTACGACTTTGGTATAGTTTTCATATCTTTGTACGGACCGATAATTAGTATTATTCATTTGAAGTTAAACTCAATTTCCGAATCATACCTACACAAAAAGCATTCGTGATGATTTTAGAGCAAAAATACTTATAGCAAAAACGAAAGATGACAAGATTTTAAAGACAATGTCTTATACTGTCTTATGATATGTATATAATAAATTAAATAATTTTTTTGAACCGCTGTCAAGGATGCTGTGATAGTCCGAAAAATAAATAAACTATCAAAAAAACAGTTCTAACTACTGAACTAATAATTACACATCACAGTCTAACGTTGAAGTTATGATTAAAAAGAAAAAATTGCCTATATCCAGACGGACCGTTTAACCGTTTTTGTATTGTATACACATTCACAACGGTCGGATTGCATTGGCTTTCACGTGGATAATAATTCGGCTGGTGCCCGTTTGTTTGAAAGTCCCATACACGTGTACACAATATACATACACTATGAGATGGTTTGTAAATTAATATTATTATATTATGCAAATAACAGACGGCAGCGGTTTTGTCCGGACGCAGTATGATTAATCGAATCATACGTTTAATTAGACGATCGCTTTACATGTACAATATACGCATATAGCACGTGGCGACTTACCGAGTGGATCAAGCTGTGGTAAGATCTATACTATTATATTGTACTCACCCCAAGCACAGCTCGATCGTTATTGACCTCGCCGAGGGATTTTCGCGCTTTTCATTTGGGCGGCCTTATTTATCCCTGACCGCGAGGGGGGCGGCTTTCATGCGAGATGTACGATCATTTATTATTTTTTTCTCTTTCCACCCCTCTCACCATCATCCCCTTTGGGCCTCCCGACCACACTGCTGCCGGTTTTACACGACAAACAATACCCCCACAGGACAGCGTGTATTCGCGTTCATCGCGCACAAATAAAATGGCGGTACCGCACAATGATATAAGCGAATTACAATGCCCCCCCGACCAGTGTTTGTTGTGTGTACATATATTATATTGTAATGCTAAGGGGTGTCGTCGCTAAGTACTCTAATTCGGTTACCGCGGGGGCACGATACTCGGCGACAATGGGGAGGGTGGTACGCCGTGGCGAACGCTCATCCGTAATACAAGCATTATTATTATTACTATTGTATAATGCGGGTTTTTTCGGTGGATAAAAACATGCGAACGGCAAAAAGGGGCGGCGGGGGTTAACACATGAATAAGTCAACACAGTGGACGCGCATAAGCGGATCACGTACCGGCTGTGGCGGGGCAAAAAAAAGAAAAAACACCGGGGAGACTAATGACGATTAACAATACACACGAAAAAAATAAATAAATAAAAATGGCCGCCGCATAAGCTTTATATATTACGGTCTCGATCATTGTTCGGCGATCCTCTTGCGCAGACACGCCGAAATCACCGTTCGCACCCCGTACCTACATATACTTATATTATTATATAGGTACACGGTATGGTATAATATGTATTATCCTATTGTGTCGGTTTTTTTTTTTGCCAAACTATAATGGTGAACGGATTTAATAGTCCGTTGCGAATGTTTTTTAAGATTTATATTATATATTTCTTTAAACGCCCGCTCTTGTAATAAATCGGTAGAAACGGCGGGTATAGGTGATATTTTGTTGGCCGCGCCACTTGATAAATTATGCGTTTTCGCGCCGATGTGGTTTTCCGATTGACGGCTCAATAGAGAACATTAAACGACGTTATACTATTATATTAGATTATTAGAATATAAACTCTACGTATATAGGTAGTGTGCGTGGTGTGTGTGTGTGTGTGTATAAAATAACTATGTATTTGGACCGTGGGCGAGATAAACGTCAGTGCGGTCATTGGTTAGTGTATACGAGTTTGGTCGTAAATGATTTAACCATAAATTAAAATATAATATGTATATTGATAGATAACACTAATGCGTATACAACGCTATATCTAAACCTGATTTCTATAATGGCGGTAATAGAAAAACTGTTATGGAAGAATCTTAAAAAAAAAAATTAATGTCTACAAACACTCCTTTTTATCCGTTTAATAATATTATATTGATTTGACGTTAATTTATGTATACCCTACATATTTGTTCTCAAATAGGCTCAAAAATATCTACGGGGTTCCGGGTCTTACATAAAACTAAACAACTTATGTCAGATTTTTTAGGAGGTTATGCACAGGGTTACTACTTGACGTTTGGTCTGACTCGTATGGCAGATAGTTGGAAATATTGGAATGTAGATTCTCTGGCTAGGAGCAGCAGAGGGCTGATAAGTGGTTTTCATTCACAGCGTACACTTCACGGCGTGTACTCACAATATGCGCAAGTGTGCCCGTAGTCTTGGCAATTTTAGCATTGGGTGCTTTCGCGTCTTTTATGAGGTTCCTCTATTTTGATTTTGGTGTGCAAAATTCCAATAATGTGAAAGATGGATTGGGAGTTGTCGTCTTTTTCTAGGCCGACAATAAAGAGAGGGAGAGGCGTTTTGGATGGCCTCTGCAGAACACGTCGGTTACTTGAATAACGGAAAAGTTGAAGTTTTCAAGAGCCGATTTTATTGCCTCGCAGGGAGTTGAGGGATGGAAATTTCTAACGACTACGCGGTAAGGTGTTTCGTTTTGTAATTGGTAAGTGTGGAATTCAGGGCTGGGTTCGTTATTAAGAACTAAGAAGATGTTTTATTGTTCTGTAGTTATCCGTTGAATTGTAATGACTTGTAATGTGTAGCTACTACCTGGAATTAAGCCTACCGCGGCGGCCATTTTGTAAGCGTGGTTTGTGTAGGTTTCGAAAGTATGCTATCGGGAACTGGTGGCGAAGAGAGCAGATAAGATAAGGCCAACCGGCAGCCGTTCTATATGTATTTTTATTAGCAAAAACTTTTACTTACTAAGTATGATAACTTGAGAAGTCCGACACGAATCTTGATTATTTCGGCTTTGTAGAACGCGGAAAACCTTTTTCGTTATTTGTGTGTAAATTAAGAACGGGTCATGCACTTTAGCGTCGAGGGTTGTCGTACAACTTTATTTCACGTTCGAGTGATCGGCATCGAATGCTTGGATTTCGACTCCTACAATAAAATTTTAAACACAAAAACCTGTTTGATGGTTTTTTTTAAGTACCGAGTACCTACACTCTGATTAGAAGTCTGACTAATAGTCGTAGTAGACGGATTTCTTCTTAAATTTAAGATAACAATATTTGTATAACGCATAGCTCATTAGATGTGTCATGCTTATTATTATATATTACTTGTACTTAAAAAAACAAACGTTGGTCGATGTGTGTTTGAAATTGTTTAAAAAAAAAAACTTTTTTTAAATTAAACAACACGATTAATCGTTTGAGTTAAATAATATACCAGTATATTTTTAACATACCAACTCTAGTGTTTTGTAGTGTTTTTTGCAAAGCTATTTAAAAAAAAAAATGATAAGGTACAATTTGTACGGAAAATATAATATTAAGGAGATTTACAAGG